TAAGATAATATTATTAGCTGAAAAAAATACTATATCATCAACAAGGTTCATATAAACAAATTGTAGCAAATTAGACACTCCCGTGTCAATCTCTCATGGTTGAAAAAGATTTGTCCTCAAGCCCTTATCTGTTTTGTCAACATGATTGTGAAAATGACTTAAATCAGCAACATTAAATGTTGGAGACACTCCGTAATCTTCAGGTAGCTCGATCTTATAAACATTTTTACCAATTCTCTTAAGCACTTTGAATGAACTATCAGTCTTTGGTTTCAATTTTCCAAACTTACCTAGTGGAAACCTCTCATTCCTTAGATGAATCCAGACCAAATCTCCAATACTAAACTCCATATGTTTTTTGTGTTTGTTGGCAGCTTCCATGTACCTCTCATTTTGCTTTTCTATATTTGATTTAACACTCTCATGTAGTTTCTTTATCTGCTTTACTCTCTTGTTAGCATCTCTATTAAATTGCTTAGTTATCGAATAAGGGACGAAGTCCAAATGACCAATAGGATTAGCACTATAAATAACCTCAAAAGGACTCTTACCCATACTATGATGCATAGAACGATTGTAGGAAAACTCAATTTGTGGAAGAATAAGATCTCACTACTTAATATTCTTGCCAACATAACTTCTAAGTAAATTTCCCAAGCTTTTGTTCATTACCTCAGTTTGCCCATCTGTTTGTGGATGATGCGAGCTGCTGAAATTCAAAGAAGTACCCAACTTCCTCCAAAGAGTTCTTAAAAAATGACTAAGAAATTTTAAATCTTGATCAAACACCATAGTTCTTGGAATACTATGCAATTTAACAATCTCCTTAAAATACAAATCAGCAATATGAGATGCATCATTCGATTTATTGCAGGGAACAAAGTGAGACATTTTTAAAAATCTGTCAACAACAACTATGATAAAATCCTTGTTCCTTTGAGTTCTTGGCAGTCCCAAAATAAAATCAAGACTCATATCCTCCCATTGAGTATTTGGCACAAGCAATGGAGTGTACAATCGAGAATTTTGACTTCTTATTTTTGTCAAATGACACACTCAGTATTGCTTGACATATCTCTCCATATCTCTAAACATCTTAGGCCAATAGAAGTTTGATTGAACAAGAGCTAGTGTCTCTACCGAAATGTCCACCCAAAACACCAACATGAGCTTCAACTATAATTACTTGTCTCAAAGAATAAGATGGAACATATAAAGCATTAGCTCGAAAAAGTAAACCATCAAAGATAAAAATTATTGAAAGGAACATGATTTACAATTCTGCCATATTGAGCCGAAATCCACATCATACTCATAACAAGAGATCTTTGAATGTTTCGAATTCAACTACTTTGACTTCCATTGTTGATAATAAATAATGTTTTCTGCTCAATGCGTCAACAACTACATTTTGAACACCAGATTTGTGCTTGATTGTAAAGTTATAAAATTACAAAAACTCCACCCAAGCTGCATACCTCTTGTTTAGCTTGTGTTGGTGATTAATGAACTTTAATGCCTCATGATCAGAATATAGGACAAATGACTTGGCAAGAAGATATTGACTCTAATGAGATAAAGCTCGATAAATGGTATAAAACTCCTTATCATATGTAGAATATTTCTTTCTCGTATCATTTAGCTTTTCACTAAAAAATACAATGGGCTTTCCGTCTTGACTCAAAACAGCACCAATTCCCACATTAGAGGTGTCACATTCAACCTTGAACACATTGTCAAAATTTGGTAGAACTAAGATAGGAGCTTCGGTCGCCTTTCTTTTTAAAAGATCAAAAGCATCATTAGCCTCGTTAGTCCATTTGAGTTTATCACATTCCAGGCATTCAGTGATTGGAGCGACAATAGAGCTGAAACCCTTGATGAATCTTCTGTAAAAGGAAGTTAAGCCATGGAAACTCCTCACATCATGCAATGAAGCATGTATTGGCCAATTGAGAATAGCTTCTACCTTACTTTGATCCATCGTGGTTTCATCTTTTGAAACAATATACCCCAAAAACACAACATTAGAAGTAAAGAAATCATACTTCTTTATATTAGCATATAGCATTTGATGTTTCAAAATAAGAAAGATCTCTTTCAGATGATTCATATGCTCCTCTTCGCTCTTGATGTACACCAATATATCGTCAAAGTAAACTACAACAAATAATCCAATGTATGACTTAAGTATGTGATTCATAAATGTCATGAAAGTGCTATAAGCATTAGATAGCCCAAATGACATAACCAATCATTCATATAAGCATTCTCTAGTTTTAAATATTGTTTTCCACTCACCTTTGGGCCTCATTCTTATTTCGTAACAGTCACTCCTCAAATCAATTTTAGAGAAAATATAAGCACCACACAATTGATCAAGTAAATCATCTAACCTTAGAATAGGAAAACAATAGTCTACTGTAATTTTGTTGATGGTGTGACTATCCGCACATATTCTCCAAGATTCATCCTTCTTAGACACCAACAAGGCTAGGACTGCACAAAGACTCATGCTCTCCCGAATCAATCTCTTTTTCACCAATTCATCAACTTGCCTTTGAAGTTCTTCATGCTCATTGGAACTTATTCTGTATGCTACCTTATTAGGTTTGTAGCTGTCATACAACACCCTTCTATCATAATGTCAAGGTCTCCCCAACAGCAAATGATAAGCGTCCATTCGAGCAACATCACACCATACTTCGTCTTTATAATACATGCCAATAAAAAATGAAACTAAACATCTTTTAGTTACCTTGATGTCATTTCTTTTTTGCAACCAACATAATTAGTAATTAGTATGGATGTGGATAAGGGATTGTGTCCAACTTTAGCTTATGCACCATCTCTAAAGATACCATGTTCTCAAAGCTACCACTATTGATGATCACCAAGCACACCTTGCCAAGAGAAGTGCATTGTTGCTATGTTGCAATACAATAGACAAACCATGATATGCATAAGTAACATCTTCCTCATCTTCATCATATTTTGGTTCGTCGTCAGCTTCATCTTCTCCTCCATCATTATGATCTTCGACCAAAGTTGCAATCCTCCTATTTGGACAATCTGAAACAATATACTTAAAACCATGACATTTGAAGCATTTTCGGTCATTTGGGTAGAAGAATTAGATTTTTTTTGTTGCCAGCAGATTCTTTACCCTTTTCTTACACTTTCGATATCATACAATACGCTTGGAACTTCCCTTTTTGTATAGCCTTTCTTTTGAACCGAGAACTCTTTTCAAATTTATGTTACTTTTCAACTTTTAAAGCCTACTTGTCTGCGAGAACACAACATCCGTGTCTTAAAAAGTTGTTATTTAGTGAATAATATGTTACATTTGCATTTCTACTAGTTGCTAAATTCGTTAGCATGGCTTCCATAAATATGGTATTTAGATATTGCTTCAAGAACTATTACATTGTATATCAATTGATCACACTTGGATTCTCATATTTAATTCAAAGTAATTCTTTCTTCAAGATTGATTATTTTGCAATGAGTATATAAACATTTTTGGTCGACAACCTGTGTATCCAATGTTCTGTCAATGAATTTAGCCACTGTGTAAACAATCCCTTAGGTTCAACAATAAAAAAAAGGCATTATTATCATATTTATCCCTCTAAATTTGAGTCTACCATACATATATCCTTCCAAAACAGAAAACATAGATGTCCTTCTGGTTAATCTTCATATATATGATTAATTAAAATTTTAAATGACATTAATATCCTATAAACCTTATAATGATTGTAAGGGCTACTATATCTATTTGCCTATTTCTAAACTTCAAAATTTGTAAGGAGAAAGTGTTAGAAACCTTGTAGATTCTAAACTTTGGGTTGATCTCTTTAGGGGATCGGCCTCCTTGGAACTCTATAGGGGTTCCTCCCTCCAAGTTGCTGCTCAAAGGCTGCAGAAAAAATTCATCTATTGCCTATGAAAAGATGTAGAACACATGACTATTTATAGGGCTTCTAAACCCTGACTCCTAATAGGACTCTTGCTTAAGACTCCTACTTCTAACCAACTCCTAATATGACTCCTACTCAAGACTCCTACTTCTAACTAACTCATAATAGGACTCCTACTCAAGACTCCTATTCCTTTACAACTCATTATTCTTCTATAAGAAATAAGCTCCTAACCCTAGGTCACTTCACCTTTTTAATAGGGGTCGGCTTAGGTAGGTTTTACATGAATGTCCCTCTCAATTAGGACTCTCCTAGCTAGAGTCCTAACAGAAAGATGCTATTTCCAAACACTTTGAGAGGATAGATATGTAAACCAAAAAAGAACTATTATATAGAATTAGCTGTATGAAAACTTAGCCTTTTATGCCAACATATATCTTTTTGGTGGCTTGGCTTCTCGTTTTGATAATAGTAGAATCCATATGTAATACAGTCAAAGATGAATTAAAGATCTTGTTGATATCAGTCACATTTAACTCACTCCAGAAGTCTGACTCTTCAAAGATAATGGGTTCAAAATATGCCCTGAATGAGATGGTGTGCTTCCACCAATACAAGATCATTACAAGAATTAACTTAACCTACCACCAGTTATACTCACTGGAAATAGAGAACAGCTATTAGATCCCGTCAATTTACGAAAACTTAGGGGGTTCAAGAAACACAAAAAGGGTACAACTTTGGCAAAAGGGATTTGTCTGCCATCTCTATCGTACAGATTAAGGGCGTTACGATCTCCTACCCAACAAAAAACTAATTTTGAACCACTAACTATTGCTTGCAATCACAATATGAACGGAAGATTAGAAACAAGAAACAGAGATCCGAACAACGACAGAGGAAAAAATGCCGGAAAGAGATTACAATACCAAGACAAGATCCGACAGAACCCCCTTCCGCCTCTCTGCCACCGTGTATCGAGAGATGCGCGGAAGAAAGAATGGGGGCGGATCAACCAGAACCAAAACAGGGAAAGACGAAGAATAGGGACGAGTGTTGGATTACAAGGATCACCTGGACGGGTCCACACGATGTAGATCTCAAACCCCAGAATCGATCCAATGGAACAGTAGCGGCTGCTCAATCTCTTCGAGGGCGGGGGGACGTCCGGAGAGAGAGGTAGATGTGTCAATTAAACCTGTATTTGTAAAAATATTTTTTTATTACCATGAATCTACCCATCGGTCAATATGACGTTAATAATAATGTTGGGGTGGGTTGACCAGACATTCAAATCGGATTAGATTTAGTCTTGATTAAGTCAAATATGATTTATTTGATTCAATTAAATCAAATAAAATAATATTAACAAATATTATTATTATTTATATTTAGATATATTTATATTTAAACATTATTATTTTTCTTTTTATTTATAAAATTCAGTAATTATTAATTAATTTTAATAATTTTTATTTTAAAAAAATAAAATTAATTAATTAAAAATATATAAAGTCTGTTGGTTCTCTTATCCTATACACAGCTTCTTCATCTAAATTAAAAATAAAGTGAGAATTATAGTATATATATATATATATATAATTAAGATACTAACTGGAATCAAATCATCCATTTCTTGGATGAAGGAACTCTTTTACATTAAATGTAAAAAAGTAAAGTAAAGAGTAAGATAATGCATGCAAGTGCCAAAAAAATAATGTTATTTTTTTTTATTGATTGATTAATTGACTATTTCTACAATAAAGAATTTTCATAATCAAGAGATTGAAGAAGCACAAAATGATGATTCATTTTTGGCAGAATCTGAAAAAAGCTGGACTTCCAGAATCACACAGCACCCAAAAGTTGTTCTCAGATATTGCCAGAAAAAAAAAAAAAAAAAAAGTTGATGGGTTAAGCTGTGCATGCCAAAAAATAAAAGAAAAAATCCCTACAAAATCTCTTAATATGGAGATAAATATGGACATAGAAAAAAACCTCTATCTTATCCATAACTCACATGCATAGATTCCATCATCTGCTTCTCCAATGGCAATGCAGAAACCTCATCTCTCAGCAGCTGAGAGGGGGCTTTCAAGCCAGTTCATCACCCATGCCAACACAACAATGACATCTCCACTAGCCAAGTTGTCAGCTTGAATTATACATGAAACTATTGGATGACCCTACTGATCTGTGTCCTGTAGAACTCACAGTTTTCTGTCTCTGAACTGGAATTGTGACACTGTTCTATGTCATTCAAGCATGATTCTTGTTCATTGATCAGGAAAGCAGCATTTCTTTAGTTTCACGTCTAATTACATTCAACTCATAAGCTGATCAAGGATAATTTTCTTTCATGCAAAACACTTTCTCTACACCACTAGCAGCTCTGATGATAATACTCTTGATCATGAAGTAGAGAGTGATAAAAAGCTTTATACAATTTTAGTGAGTTGTTCGAAGATGCCCAGAAATCATTCTTCTCTTTGTCCTCCACTCATTACTGCTACACATTCCATCTTACAGGACCACTATTTTGCCTACTTGTGCTTCCATTTGGAGCTTCATGTATAGAAAGAAAGGAAAGCACTACAAATAGCCACAGTTTGAGGCAGATGGGACTGTTCTCTCGTGTGGTCTGTTCTTGTGTGGATCTGCAACCCCATGCGAAGAAGATAACATGATGTGGAATCATCTTAGTTTGGCCAGAAGCTAATTATGGAAAACAGCTTCCAGAAAAAGAGAAATTATATGCCATGCAATGCCAAAACATAGCTAGTTATAGCTCATAATTCATAGTTTTTTATGAATGTCAACTATGCACCTTTATAAGTCAATTGATCCTGAATATTCAATTATTTGATAAACATGGGCCTAAGTGAAGATTAAATATTTAATTTTTGTAAGTATAGGAATACTAATAAAATTTTTAAAATATAAAGATCGAGATGTTAAATATAGTTAACTATAGATAATAATATGTAATTAGCCCATATAATTGAGATATCTTATATTTTTCAGAAAAAGTGATTTGATATCAAATTCAATTAGATTGATATTCAAATATTTCTTCTCAGGAATATGTTGTTCCGGTTTGAAAATAAATTCTGCCTAAGGATGTTCTCTCTCTCTCTCTCTCTCTCTCTCTCTCTCTCTCTCTATTCTGATCTTTCTGTGAGTCTAATATGCTAAGTTGTAGAAATACCGTTCCGTTCCTCACCTACAAGTCCATCTTTTTATGACCCACTTGGCTTTCACGTTAATCTTGCATAAGGATGTTCTTCTCACATGTCAAAGTCCAAGACTCCAAAGTCCAAGTCTTGATACTGGAAAAGAACAGTTCATCTCTGTCTACCATGCACAAGAATCAGATTTTTTTATTGAGTTCTTTGTTGGTGAGATGGAAAATAGATGTCTAGAAATCCTAAACAACATTGGGTGTGGAAAAGCATTTTCTAAAGTAGCTGGAAAAAGGCAGCTCCAATCCCAGAGGCCCCATCTGAGCCTCCTCCACTCCCCTACATGAATAGCTCACATCCATTATCATGTCTGCTTCCAGCTTCAAAGCATAGATCATTCGACTTTTTCCCACCCGGTTGAGGATTAAGCATCGGTTCTTGATGCTGAGGTCCTGTGGCTGAGGAAGGATTCGTGATCTCTCTTCAGTCCAATTCAGGTTTGGGAAGAACATGCAAGACCTGTTTCCTGTTCCCTCATGCTTCTCTTCTGGCGAGAAGCTCTCTCAGGATGTACTCCCTGCTGCTACTGCTGCTGCTGCAACCAGGTCGCGGCAGAGCATGGTGGTGTCGGTGTACCGCAGCAGGGTCGCAGGTCACTGCCGCTTGGTCACCGTCACTTGGTGCAAGAATCTGCTCGCGCATGGCCTCTCGGTCTCCGTAGATGGACCGGACACCGACAGCAGCAGCAGCAGCAGCAGTCAAAGGAACAGTTCCGATGCCGCCAACAAGCAGCAGCACAGCTGCAAGGTGCAGATCTCGCCATGGCAGCCATGGCGGAAGCAGGGCTCGAACAGGTTTCAGATCGGAGGGGAGACGGTGGAGGTGTTCTGGGACCTCCACAGCGCAAAGTTCTGCAACGAGCCCGAGCCACAGTCGGACTACTACGTCGCCGTGGTGTCCGAAGGCGAGGTCGTCCTCCTCCTCGGCGACCTGCGGAAAGAAGCCTACCGCAGGACGAGCTCGCGGCCGTCCTTGACCGAGGCCGTCTTGGTGGCGAGGAAGGAGCACGTCTTCGGCAAGAAGAGGTTCGCCACCAAAAGCCGGTTCCACGACAAGGGAAGCCGCCATGAGATCTCTGTGGAGTGCAGCAATGGCGGCGGCGGCGGCAACATGGATCTGGACATGGAGATAAAGATCGACGGCAATGTTGTCATCCATGTGAAGCATCTGCAGTGGAAGTTCAGAGGGAACGACTCCATCTCAATCGACAAACGCAGGGTTGAAGTGTATTGGGATGTCCATGGCTGGCTCTTCGCCTCTGGGCTGAGGCATGCGCTCTTCATATTTAAGCCAGAGTCACTGAGTAGCGCAGGAGGAGGAGGAGGTGATTCCTGTTGCTTGTTTCTCCATGCTTGGAAGCTTGATTGAAGAGCTTCCCAAGGGAGAAATCTTGCGGAAGTTGTTTTGGTGGAAGATGAAGATGGTGATGGAGAATCTAATACGTTGTTAAGAACATGAGATAAAGGATTGAGGAGGCGGTCAACACAATTCTGATGAAACCAGCAATTCTGGAGTTTGATTCTACTGCTACTTGATGAAAGCTTGTGATCATTTTCATACTGACTTAGATGGCATAAATAAAAAAAAGTCTTGTAGAACAAAAATGCAACTTCACCATGACTCACTACACTCATCCTCAGTCATGAATATGCTTCATGAAATTGGTATCAACCTGGAAAACATTTTTCGACATAATCTGGTTTGGATTGACTTGAAAGATAGATATCACAAACTGAAATAACCCACAGATAAACCAGATCGTGTGGTTTCTTGAAATCTGCTGGAGATGATGATGATGAAGGAGAATCTAATGAGTTGCTAAGAACATGAGATAAAAGGAACGAGGAGGTGATCAACACAATTCTGATGAAACCAGCAATTCTGGAGTTTGATTCTACTACTGATTGATGAAAGCTTGTGATCATTTTCATACTGACTCATATGATACATTTGGCAAAAACAATTCCTTGTAGAACAAAAATGCAAAGGAATAAGCTTCATGAAATTGGAATCAAAATCCAAAACAATTTTCGACGTTTGGTTTGATTCAAAAGATAGAAAATTGAACCAAAATAACCCACAAATCAACCAGATTGTGTGGTTTCTTGAAAATTGTTGGACTGCAAGATATTTATGAGTTTTGAGACCGAGACAAAGGAAGATTGTTCCCTCAGAAACATGTGCTTGAACTTGTTTTGACAGTTTTATGTTGATCGAATTAACAGGCAATCTTTTAGAACTGCTTAAATCAATCTCCAAACTGAAACTGTTTAATCAAATGCAACAAACAGATTCAAGAAATGGGAATTAAGCTTTACACAACCTAACAATTTCAGCTGCTAAATATTCAGATCTCAACAGTGCCCATCAAGATAACCATCTTTCTTTGTACTTCTGATTCTAAGCAGTTATGATTGGGGCCATTGCAACAAGCAGCACCTTCAAATTGAGATTAGAATGGACTAATTCTATCCATATATTTTAATTTATTTTAGGTACTTACAGAGTGTTTTTCTATCAACAAATGGTCTTTCGTTCTACAGTCATCCCACAATTTTGCATAACCAATAAAGAGATGTTACCAGCCATAGTTAGTACATGTTATTTTCCATGGAAGAGGATAATTTGGAGACAACATAGAACCCGGTTACTTGCACTTAAGAAATCAGAGTGTCATCAAATTTTACATACATATGATGGAGAATATACAACTTTAGAACATGAAAGTTACAAGCAACGATGCGATTAAAACTCTGGCCTTCAACAATCACTCGAAACATAAAACAGATGGAAAGATTAAAAAGAAATAAATGGAGCGGAACTTACATGGTTGGCAAAGGAACAAAAAATTCTAGCTGGCTAGATGATTTGGAGAGCTGCTGAACATGGTGTGCCACATGAATGCTCTGGAAAGGACCATCTCAAGCTCATGGTGAGTCCAGTCCAGTGTGGGAAGGTGTTGAAGGAACATTACCATCTCTTGGAAATCAAGCTTTAGGAGTTTATCAGACCACTGAAACATGTAAAACTGTGAATTTAGAATTTTGCAACTTTCTGTGCTAATCAAAAGAGGTAAAAAAAAAAAAACAACTGATGCGGCCTAATAATGTAATGTGTATATTGATTAAAATTGCAGTGATGCTTCTAAGAATGAGCAACCATTTGCATTAACCATAAATTTGGAAAGCAAACACATGCATATGTTGACTACATCAGAGCATAAATTTTCTTATTTGAATAACATGCTAAGTTCTAAGGAAAGCTTTGTTATTGTAGATTTCCACCATGCCACATTTTTATATTTCTTGTATCCTGGTCATACATGATTATCTGTAGGCAATCAACTGGAATGACTTAAAAAGAGGCAGCCAGAGGATCATATTGATCTCAGATCAAAAGAATAAGTTAGTTTGCATAGAAGTCAAGACAGAAGGTCGCTTCATCACAGGATACAAGTCCCTTGGTCAACTATTAACATCAATATAACAACCTTATAGATTCCTAGAACCTTGGCCAAAATTAAACGACACATTAACTGTTGCTTCCACAAGAATTGATAAATCTCACAGTGGATATTTGTTGGATCATACTCAAACAGAAGGATAGGTATACCTCTGCTGAAACTATTATAAAACTCCTGCCTTGTGTTAGCAACTTCAACGACAACAGAAAGCAAACGACAAACAGAACTAAAAGGTGACAGTATCCAGAAGTCAATGGTAATCCGCCAGTTTTGTTAAAGTTTTAATCTAATAGTTCTAATGGTATCATTAAAACCTAAAAGCCCAAAAGAATGGTCTTATTTTTCAACCAATAATAACAAAGCTGACAAATTGGTATCCAAAAAGGGAAATTTTTTGCTTAGCTTATCAAGTCATATATTAATGGATGTCATTCTCATCAAAGAAGTAAATAATGATTCTGACATGGTTCCAGCAAGATATTATGATTCTGACAGCAAGGTGATACAACATAGCAGCAAAGCAACATGACTGAATAAGTAACGGTAACCTCCCCCATCAAAGAAACTCTGACAATTCAGCGACATCTGCCTCAGAGTTTCTTTATCATAAGCAATGTGTCAACTTATTGGAAATAGGAGCCTTCTGTTCCCTGCATGTGACACTTAGGTGATTGTTGAGCTTGTTCCATCAAATGCATTGATAACAAGCACCACATCAATGAAAGCTTCCATGAAGCTTATGTAGTTGTTTGGCTTACTCTCCAACAAAATAGCATCAATAATGGCATCCCAGCAATCTCTGTGGTTGTCTGAGGCAACAACAATGATATCATTTCTGGCAACTTGTGATTGCTAATTTATTTCAAATTTACTCAATGTTTATTTTCATCATCTCCACTGCTCTCGATAATTTTGATGGCACCTTTCGTGCACCCTTTATGTCACAGGCAATTTAATGTGTGTTTGAAAAAATTTGATTGATGTTCCTGAATAAACTTTAGAATAGTGGTCTTAACCATCAAAAGGCTCTTCAATGAAGTGACAGCAGAGACACATCCCACTATAGCTCATGAAACCAATTTCCAGGCATACTGATTCCGGCTTTATTCATCTAGAGAATCACTCAGTCTTTTTGAATGCATTTTTATCTCAAAGGAGTTTTCCAATTGAAGGCATTGATCATATCCCCTTCCAACATAAAAGAAAAAAAGGGTTTGGCTGATACATCAATTTGATTAGTTCAAAAAGTATCTGAAAACACACACGAAATCAAAGTGTAAACAGATAAAAACTATACATAGTATAACAAGAAAAACGATAAAGAATGATTCATTATTGTACATTTTATTATAAAAAGTAATTGTTATACATACATATATGTATATATATATGTGTATATATATGTATATATATATGTGTGTATATATATGTATATATATGTATATATATATGTGTATATATATATATGTATATATATATGTGTATATATATATATATGTATATATATATGTATATACATATATATATATACATATATACATATATACATACATACATACATATATAGATACTGATGAACCTACTACAACTTTGATGGTTAACTAATCACCATGATGGTGAAGTGTTAATGAAAAGATAAAAAAAGAAAGACTTTACTCAAGAAGAGTGCTTATAAAATTTGAAATTAATTGCTAATCCCATGATATCTTCCAAAACTATTATGAAATATCTAGTTCCTTCAATTTTCCAGGGCTACTCTCTTCCTCATTCCATGGCTACTCTCATCTGTTTTACATTTATAGTCATATGTTTTTTTTTTGCCTTTTACCACCTTGAATTCCCTCATCCTTCTCCACTCCTCTCTTCTTTTTCTTCTTTTTCTTCTTTTAAAGACAGTTGAGGTGTAGACTTAGTCAAACAGTATGAAAAACCAATTTTAAGTGAGCTTGATTGATTCCATATAATTGTGATTCATATCATGTTATTAAGGTTGAAAAATCAAACAAACAGAATCAGCCTTAGACCATATCGAGACCAATCACTTAGATCATATTGAAATTGGCTGATACCACTACAATGTTGCTCGCCAGTGTAATATTTTGAAACTGATGCCAGAAATATCATTTGTAGGTAGAAACTAGTCTGGTCTTATTAACTAATGGATCCCAATTGATCAACTTGAAGAAATTCAAAGTTCTTTAGAACCTATCTTATGGTTGTTTCAAATCGTGGGCACTTATGTTGAAATTGGCAAAACACAAATATAGGATCTTCTCGTCTTGATGAAACACAAATATAGAACCTATCTCAATTCTCCAAAAAGGGTTTAAGGTAGGATCTCATATTGAATTACCAAAAGAAAAAAAAAAAGATAAAAATACTGTTTATCAATAGTTTATTATACTTTGTATTATTGAAAAATCAATGAAATCATTTTATACTCACTCAAAAATTTGTTGATTGATTCTTTATTTGTTTTCGGACCAACTTAATCAGAAGTGACTTTGTATGAGTCTAATTGACTAGGCCGTTAAATGATGTCTAGGACACAGCTTACTCATGTTCATTCATTTAGACTGATCCCAACGGTCTACAGCTAGCTGTCAACTTTGTCGATGATCATAAAAGTTAGCAAGGAAAAAGATTCTCGCACACAGATCATAATAAAACCAAGAATAGAATCATTGTCATAGGCAATTTTCAAAGGATTATGCTGTCAGTTTTGTGGATGATCATAAAAGTTTAAGGAAACAGTTCTCCCACATATATCATAATAAAAGCAAGAATAGAATCATTGTCATAGGTGATTTTCAAAGGATTATGCAACACACATTACACCCAGTAATCAAATGTAGATAATATTCAGATGAACACAACATAATTAACTGACAAACTACAACTTACTGTTAATAGCAAACTCGCAGATATATACACAAGAAAATCTGGCAATGAATCTCCTTCAGCAAGATAAGTATCCCACAAACGGGTAACCAAATGGAACGGGATCTAGAAAGTTATAAACCATAAATTAGCAACTTAAATGGCAATCACATAATCTCCAAGGAAACATTCTTTAAGTATCAAAACAACCTCACGTATTAGAAGGCAATTGAACCATCTAAAAGCAAATTGAAGAAACTCCAGGCCGTGCTTCTCCATGTGTCTTGATACAGGTTCTTATGTCAAAACATGAAAGATTAATCAGAATGAAAGTATCTCGAACTCAAAAGATATTATGAAAGAAATACATAAGAAGTGAAGGGCAGAATATTCTCACAGAGATAGATTGAAGCAAGCAACTATAGGTACTACTTGAAAGATCATGTTTACTGTTTATAAGGTTATATGTTAAAGGGTTAAAAATCAAAGATTTAAACTTGTCATGTAAAGAGAGTTGCTTATTGCTTTATCACAAAGCTGTGATATCAAATTTCTATCTTATTGCTTGATTGAGAGAATGTCTTTTAGTTGTCATATCTAATATGAATGATGACATCAAACAATTGACGTATGTGTCTTAAAATGGAGAGGTGCATGCATGTTTTTGTGTCAAAAATTTTGATCATTGGTTAACCCAATAGCTAGGTGGGTTTTCATAAATTGGCTAACAAGAAAACATAATGATTTGAGAATCAGATTCGATGCAGAGGATACAACACAACCAAAATGAGGGAACCAGGACTGCATTTTTTTTCACATCACAAGGCACATCGGTTCTGTACTGGCTGAAAAAGCAACCCTTGAGTTGAGCCATGGATAAATTTATCATAAGTCAGTGGTAGCACCATTTTAGGATAAGGAAAACCCAAACATGTCCAGAGGGGGAGGTGAGCAATTAAAATTAGAGGTACCATGAGAGGTCCAAAGAAAACTTTAACCAGAAAGAACAAAATGTGCATGATGGCCCAAGAAATACAGGAGGATGATTCTCTCAATGGAAAAATGGTGACGAGAAAGAACTTATCTATAACTGTTCCTATATAGCCAACTGTAGATTGTTAGGACTACAGGCGTAATACTTGGGTAAAAGAACATCATTTTTGCAAACTTAATACTTGGATTAAAGCTGTGTTACAGGTACATTAAAAAGTAAAGGAATAATGACAAAAACTGAAGGTACCATCTATGCGGCGAACCAGCTCTCGCAGTCTGAAAACAAGGTGCTGAATTCCTGGTTGAGCAAATGTGTAATGATCTTGCATGCCATCAAGCAGCTTTGAGAGACACCAATAGCAATCAGCTTCTATATTAGAGATCATCTGTGGAGAAAGATCTGAAATTGACCAGTTCTCCATGCTGCCATTTAGATGTTCAGATAAGAACACCATCAGAAATGGTGTGACAAGATCATTTATTCCTTGAACATATCCACTTGCAGGATGACGAATAGCCCTGAGGATAGGAAAGATTATTTACATTCATTTTCCAGGCAGCTTATATTTTTCAAATAGAGAAACATAATAAAAAGAAAATCATGGAACAAAAAAAATTATGTGCAACATTTTTCTTTTGCTCCTAGAATTAGAAGAACAAGGACAAAGGAATACAGAAAGAAATTTTATGTGATAAGTTCTAGGATTTGCAAAATGTACATCTAGGAGAAAGCTGGATCGACTAAGTCTCACCAGTGTTCCATATAAATGGTCTCAAAACCAAGGATTTTAATTTCAAATAATAACGTCCGTACCGGGCAGTACATATCAGTCTGTCAGTAGACCGATACACGGATCACCCGCTACTGGGCGGTACCATCAATTGGGGCTATTTCCGCCCCATTACCATCCTAAATCGATCGTCACCGCCCGCTCCCGGGTGATATTAACAGAGGGAGAAGAAAAAAGAGGAGAACCTGGAGATCAACGCTGCTCTCTCTCCTCATCTGCGCGTGGAGAAGAATCCTTGGCATCGCGGGGAGAAGAAACCAAGCGTCGAGGAGGCATTTCTTCTCCTCACTGTCACGGACAAACTTCTAAACAGGATGTTTGATGTAATGCTTATGTATGTTCATGTATTTTGGTATATTCATGCTTTGCACAGCATGTAGAGGGACGACCGAAGGCTTAATAGTCCCATTTTAGTTAGGTTTGGTGGTCGCTTTAGGCTTGTAAATAAAGGTTGTGTCATGTAGACACTTGTGAGAGATTTTCGGTCTGTAGTGGACCATTTTGACCTTTTGTTATGCAACTGTTCAGAGCTTGTAAAGTCTGTTTGTAATTTGTATTGTCTATGAAGTGTTTTCGGAAATGTTTACTTGTGGATCCCGAGTGAGACGTTTTCTCTAACGCGTTTTCTTTTTCATGGGTCCCAAGGGACCATGGGAGGCTTCGGGGAGACTGACCTTTGCGGACGGACACGCAAGGGTGCCGCACGACTTAGGCAAAACCAGCTAAGCCCGTGACAGATGGTATCAGAGCGGGACAAGCACTCATAGAAACACTTAGCATGCAAATGTGGGGGACCTAGCGGGGCTGCGTTGAGGGCAGTCAGCACACGCGTGACCGTTTGAGGGAAAATGGGCATGGAGATGTAGGGAAAAGGAGTCGCTCGGAGGAGCGGGCATCTGAGATTGGCATTCAAAGGAATGGCCAACCCTTCGCGCAAGAGGTACCACGAGAACAGGCAAACTTGGAAGAATGCGGAGCGCACAAAGGTTAGGATGGCTGAGTTTGAGCTACGGCTCAACGTTGACAACCATACTTGATGGTGCTTAAGGCAAGCGAGGCGCTTGGTAAAGGATGAGACCATGTAAGGTGGAATGAGTTGCTCAGCGACCGAAAGAGTTGTGCAAAGCTCACAGAGGTAAGGGGAATTGCTAACTCGAAGAATTTGGTACTCATGCATGGGCTTGTATGCAGACGATGGAATGTTCACGGCCATCCCAAGGCGACCGAAACTCGGCGTCATGGAGCATTGAAACTTTCTCTTCGGCATGTGAAGGATACGTCCATAGGAGGCTGAAGTGTGCAGCAAGTTCAACATGTTGCTAGGCCTTGAGTGGTGCAGCGAGGGCTGTATTGACGTGGAGTCGCAATCTAGCAAGTGCGTTTGCAGGAGGCAGAACAATGCACAGTTTGTTTAGCAAATCGGAGTAGTCCGAAGGGGATGGTGGTCTCCGAAACAAAGAGAGATGTTGCTCCAACGAGATAGATATCCAGGAGGGATAAGTCCCGGCTCTCTAGAGGGAGAATCATGTGCAATAGACCGCACATGTTGAGGAGGAATACCTCAACAAACAATAACTCCATGAAGCTCAATGGACCGAGCGAGCGACGAGGAGTCGTCGCATGATCTCGCTTGAGAGAATGCATTGGTGGATACATTGCGAGATCAAGTGGGGGAGCGACCTAAGGCAACATAAATGAAGACACACTTGGAGTCGATATGGAGATCAGACTCAATGGGAGGGCTGACTCGTGGAATGGTGGGCGCGAGGGCCACCATCAACTCAATGCAAAAACGAGGAGCGAAGCAACTTGGGTGTAACTTGGTGAAGTACCCAAGCCGTATGAAGGGAGCCAGCATAGAAGATGAAACATGGAGCGGAGGCACAGTGCTTTCCTTGGACAAAGGTCAAGGACATGAACTCTTGCAGAGGCAAGAGTAGGATCATGTTGTTCCATAGGTCCTTCATTCTGACGGAGCGGACTCATCTTGCATGGTGCCAAAGACGAAGGGAGCTTCTGGGCACATGCACCTTCTCTCGGAGAAACATTTGATGGAGAAACCAGGGCGACTCAACTTGCGGAAGCGAAGTTGAGTTTAGAAGGTCTTGGCACGGGGCAAGAGGACACGGAGGTGGGTACTCTTGAAGAATATGCCACAGTGTTGCCAGTCAAGTTGCCAGGCAAAAAGCGGTGCGCAGCGAAGATTGTGCTGGTAGGGGCAGAGGCCTAGGATCCAGACAATGGTGCACTAATTGCAGCGAAGTCGGTGGACTTCGGGAGCTACTAGGCAACGGACAGTCCTGGAGCGGTGCTTCATCTAGGTGTGACCCAAGAGTGGGTGGATGAAGGTCGATTGCCAAAGGAGTGAACAAAATCGAAGGTGGAAGAAACCCTGCGATGTATTGGCAAAGGCCACACATGGAGGGATCACAATTCGAGTTCATCCCACAAGGATCAGAATGCAATAGAGATGTCACCAGGAGGCGACATGGTGCAGCGAATCGTGGTGGAACAGTTCGTGGCAATGCGATACACACGACATAGTCCCGTGAGGGACTAGATCATACGGAGGTATGATCGGGAGCTACTGGAAGCTCCACTTCGGTGAACAACACGACGACAAGAAGGGCTATGGATTCAAGGCGTGAAGGCCATGGTACCGCAAAGGCGGGTCTTCCGTGCGTGCATCGAATTTTGCATCGGATGAAAACCTTGGTCATCAACATATGGGAACTGTGTTCCACCAAGGAAAAAGTTTGAATGCAAGTACCAGTGAGTTCCATGGGAGGGACTTGATCATGCAGAGGTATGATCGAAGCAGCTGGAGAGTTGGACTGCTTCAGAGCCTATATTCGCTCAAGGGAGCCCGGCAAGTCAAAGGATAATGTCGAGTAAGCGAACGTTGCTACCAAGGAAGCTAAGGAGAACAGAATCGGTGCAAACCCTACAACGTGATGGCAGAGGCCATGCATGGGAGTTACAATCTGTCTTTCCATCGACCAAAGGGAGCTGCTTGGAGAACACGGAGGTGTTGAAGCAGGGGGTCGAAAGGGGCGAGGAAGCGACAATGAGTCTAAAGGGACTTAGCTACCCAAAATCAAGCATCAGTTAGAATGAAGGTGGACTCGGAGGAGTGCCACAGAGACATATCTACTGATCGTGAAGAAAATGGATGCAGATGCGAGGCGACGGATAGTAGGGCCATGGGCATGGCAGCGCCATGGTACCGCAGAGGCGGGACTTCCGTGAAAGTCATTGATTCCTTGCTCTCATGGAGGGAGAGCGCTTGGTCGTGAAAGAGGCCGAGGAGGTGGAGCATGCAGAGGCAAACTCCAAGTACCGAGACAAGGCTGAAAGGCAGAGGCCAAGGAACTTTGTAAGACCGGTGTCAACGAGCTTCTCATCAAGATAGCCGAAAGTGAAGGACTTCGGGTCATGCAAGAGGGCATGACCAAGGAACGATGCAGGCAGTACGCGGTGCTGTACCTTTACTACTCAATGGAGTAGGCGGCCGGGTTGATGGAGAAGATGGTACAATCCCAGAGGCGACCAAAACTATTAGAGACTTACTCCAAGTTGGGTGAAAACTTCTTGCATTCCAGAAGTTCGATGGCATTGAGAAGGTGAATCACAGTAGCTAACTCAACGCAAGGAGTACAAACAATTTAAGTGCTTCAGAAGTGTGAGCAAAGAGCAGGCGAAGGCCAGTAACCAGCTCGATGCATGGAGTACAACCTTGAGGAGGCGGGCAAAGTCAAATAACCTTTGCCTTCTCAACTCTTAAGAGAATGGGCGAAATCGAGTACCCCAATTCTTTTATTTATCCAGCAGAGGAGCTCTGTACAGGTTCAAAGACCCTTCGAAGATAATGGAAGACAACAGTTGTCAAATCCTCACCAACGGTGATCAGTGCTACTGAGAGTAGATTGTCCGCTTTATTTCCCAACGAAATGCCAATCGAAAGCGGAAGTGATGTGAACCTACTTGGAAGTGACAACTAAGTGAAAGAATAGTCAATAGGCAAATTTTGTAGAGGAAGGACCCAAAACTTCAGAAGTTTGCGAGATGATGCTCGTTAAAGCTCCAACAAGCATCCACCCAGTTCAAGCAGCATGAGACATTTGAGAGACTAGCGCATAGTAAGGATGGCCTTTTCCTTCATCTAGAAGATCTGCAGGAATCAACAGGGATCAACATAACTCAGCCAACCCCACACTAGAGTCAGAGTCATTGGCGAGTTGAAGCAGCATGACGGATCAAAGGTTCGACTACTTAAAAACAATAGCGAAGAGCAGCTGAGAGGCAAGAGGCGCATTGTAGCTAGAGCATAAGATTGAAGATTCAGCAAAGGCGAGGAGTTGTAGTGTCGGCAAAGACTTCGACGAGGACGTCGAAGGAATAAGTGGGGGAGAATGTCACGGACAAACTTCTAAACATGATGTTTGATATGATGCTTATGTATGTCTGTGTCTTTTAGTATGTTCATGCTTTGCACAGCATGTAGAGGGACGGCCGAAGGCTTAATAGTCCCATTTTAGTTGGGTTTGTTGGCCGCTTTAGGCTTATAAATAAAGGTTGTGTCATGTAGACACTTGTGAGAGATTTTCGGTCTGTAGTGGACCATTTTGACCCTTTGTTGTGCAACTGTTCAAAGCTTGTAAAGTCTGTTTGTAATTTACATTGTCTAGAAGTGTTTTCGGAAATGTTTTCTTGTGGATCCCAAGTGAGGCATTTTCTCTAACTCGTTTTCTCTTTCGTGGGTCCTAAGGGACCATAGGAGGCTTCGGGGAGGCTAACCTTTGCGGACGGACACGCAAGGGTGCCGCACGACTTAGGCAAAACCAGCTAAGTCCGTGACATCACGCAGGTAGAAGAAACGAGGCGACGAGGCGGCGTGAAGAAACGAGGCGACGAGGCGACGTGGAAACGAGGCAACGAGGTGGCCACGCCACCTCGTCACCCTTTTTGCACGGGGAGAAGAAACGGTTTCTTCTCCCCACCTTTTCCACGCGGGAAGAAAAGAGGCGATGTCGCAAAAAATAATTTTTTTTTACATATACATACATATACATACATATACATACATATACATACATACATATATATATATATATATATATATATATATATATATATATATAGAGCCTTGTTTTTCTGCCCCGCGTGGTTTCTTCTCCCCATGCACCAAAAAGGGTGACGAGGCAATTGCCCCTTTTTTTTTACTTTTATATATATATATATATATATATATAGTACCATACTGTACCGAACGAATCTCGAAACTCCAATACGGTACGAAATTTCAATCCTTGCTCAAAACATACAGCTAAGCTATTGATCTATTACAAAGGATGAAAACAAAATTATCTTTTCAAGGAAATTAAAGCTGATATAGCATAATAAGTATCTATCTTGGTCATGTTTACAACAATAGAAGGGTAAGGCATGTTTACCAATGACAATGGCCACAAAACTGATCTTTTAAAGAGAAATAAACTAGAATAAAGCTAACATGGTTGACATGATTAAAACTATCAAATAAAAGATATAGAATGACATTGCCACTACTTCAGTGAGTTCAATTGGATAACCGATAATGATTACTCATGTCTAACATAAGGATAGCTTAATACGAAGATTGGACCCAACAGATTTTACATTTGCCAGAAAACTAAAAATTGAAAATGATCCTTTTTGCAAATATACTTATAATAATTGCTTTTTTGGAGTTACTACTGAAGTAAAATTAAAAAATGACAATTATATTAAATTAATACATCATTTTGCAAAAATATGCCCCTTAATAGGTAACTTAATCTGTTTAAAGCAATATTTACATCAAGACAATAAAGAAAGTCCAAATGATTAATACTGGTAATTCAACTAATAAGGTAAGAAATCTTTTCCTTTTCTAGATGACAGAATTTGCCATGAAATCTAACCATGTATAGAGAATGCGTTCCAATGATTTCTGAATTTGAGCATGCTGGAAGAAAGTGACATCAGGTACTGTTCTTGGGCAGTCAACAGCAATCTGACACAAAAAAGAATAAGGCAGAAATAAAACATACGCCCAGCATTTTAAGTCCATATTTTAAAAGCATCAGGCCTAGGTGAATGAATAAACCTGGCGAAGCATGTTAATCTCATCATCTGAACGTTCAGAGTCAGGAATGTCATAATACTGAGAGACACAATCAACATACTCGAGTCGTTTTCTAGCCAAAATTCCCTCACGTCTATCTGTATTAGGTGATGCATATCCCTGTTTTCACTAATACTTAAATTATGAATGTGTAATAGAACAATATATACAAGATAAGTGCAACCACAGAGAAATTTCACAGAAAAAAAGGATTCCAGGACTATTAAGTGCGACCACTTTCAGTTAAGACATAATTATATCACCTTCAAACGCATTCTAGTATATGCTAAATGGAACCAAATCTATTGTCAGAACAGAGAATTAAATTAAGGTAAACAATTATGAAAAAGAGTGAATCTAGACCTAATGAGACAGTTCACAAAACAGTGTTAGTTCAAGATAAGAATGATAGTTCATCAGTTTCAATTAGTTTTATAAAATGCAAAATAATAAAATTGCACTTAACTTTATTCTCTGCAGCCTAGTGTTGATTAATCTTTTTGTGGCATCAATTTTGCCACTCCTTTTGACAAATGAAAAATCCTTTCATAATGCACCAGAAAAAGACAACAATGTATCATGCGTTTAAGTAACTTTTCCTTTCCCAATAAGGAATATGACTCTATACTGAAGATGAAAAGTGATAGCAATAGAGGAAGCCATATATTGAATTGGCTCATGCACATCAATATGAACTATAGATACCTTTTACTTCTTTTCACAGAAATGTGCTATGCATTTATATCACAAATGCATTAAACCTTGTTGACAGTCTTATGTCGATAATGTTCAACATAATTGATGACTTTAAAGTTTAAACTAATGTGTTCATCAAGATGTTAACAATAGGGTCCAAGATGAATGGTGATCATGTACAGACCATCTTAACAAACAACTGAATCACCTAATGCAGGGCAGAGGAACAAAAATCTTCCACAATAAATCAAAAAATCAAGATAAGTAAGAGCTCAACCTGGATCAATGGTGAATTTGGGGCTGTCATGACCAAGATCGATTGAGCCGGCTTGGAGAGTCAATTTTTTTCTTGTTTATGTTGACTTATATAATTGTTTCCAAATGTTACATTGTCATAAAAAAATACAATGTGTATGTTTTAATAAAATATATTAAAATAAACAAATTATATAAGCCTGAAAATATATTTAAAAAGATATATTCAATTCCTGATAATAGGTCTATTGGAGAAAGCGGAGGCCCTGCCAGGAGCTTTACTTGAGCTTTTGGTCTCGAACAGAGGCACCATAAAGTTCAGTGGTTGTTCTATCAGAAAGTTGTATCTCAAGGACTTCAAATATACTAATGCAAGAATAATTGGCCTTTGATGGAGGCCCTGCTAGCTTCTTTTGGAGAGTCAGAAAACAGAAAATGCATGGAATATGCAGGGAACCATAGCTGCTTTCCCTTTTCTTTCAACAGTTTAATCAACAAAAAATGTCTGACCTGCCTATGTCCCACATCTTTTTCAATGAGATGCATGTACAGTAGCATCATTTTATGGATATGCAGACATTGTGCAAACTCCAGAAAACAAATTGGGAAATAGCAACTATAAAATTCACCTTAGTGAACAATGGTTTATATTTTGATCTATTAAGCCAAAGCTACCACCGAACTTACAAAAATTTAAATAGTTACCAGAAGAAGCCTCCATATATTAGGCCGCATATATGGGGGTATGCCACTCCAAGATAATTCACGCAGTTTCTCTGCATGAATGCAAACACGTTTATTGACTTTTACAGTTACTATATATGACACAGGAGTAATGATAAACAAATAGACCAGAGAAAAGCTTTAATAATATTAGTAACTAATACTTAGAATTTTCAGAAGTGATAAGAGAAAATAGAGAAAACCAACTAAAAATGTAAATGTTTAAGGCAAACTGCAGTTGAAAGAAAATGCTCTTTTGCAACAAAGACATGAGAGTTGAGATTATCTAAGATAATTGATTCCTAAGTAGAGCAAGCATGTACATATGCTAAACTGTAAGCGTACAAGAATTTCCAACTTAGCTACGAGGTGAAAAATCCCTGGAAAAGACTAAGAGTCCTGAATTGTACATAACTAGAGGAAAAAATGAGTTCAAACTTCTCGAAGGAAAATATAGAGAATGAAAGATGATACAGAGTCTTCAACCTTTACCAAGAAAATCAACAGTTAAAAACTTTGTATCATGCCACTAGAAAGTTACTATCTTTCCATCTGAAATGATATTATATATAAACACTTGGCTACATACATCATAACTCTAAACCAACGTCAAAATTTTCTGAGAAAACCAAAACAAGGTCAAACTGAACAAGCAAAAAGGAAGCCTGAGCAAGGAGGGAAGCGAGACACAATAATTTTTATACACAAAAAAAAAAGCACTAAAAACATAGCAGTTTCTTAATTCTTAAAAGATTGAAAAAAGAAAGTTAAAAGAAACGCATAGAAGTATGATGAAACTTTATGTACCTAATATAACAGCTGGTCTAGAAAGTTCCTTTGTAAATTTTGCAATTCTTGCAGAATCTGTGGCTCTAGCTCCAGAAACAGAACCCTTAGCATCTGGAGGTGTATTTGCATTGTTTGAGGTTGATATATTTGTCTTCTGAAGGATCGTGTTGCTTGCTGTTCTTCCAGAACTTTGAACTTCTGCCTGTGGAGAAAAAGACATTTTTAGTAGATAAGATCATTGTAAAAGTACTGAAACAGTCATAGGCAATGTTCATCATTACCTCATGGGAACTGCATGCATGTTGATCTCCACGATCATTTTCAGAGTAGCTTCTTGTAATTTCTTTAGAGCGTACAGGAGAATCATTAACATTTAGAGGCTCAGATTTGCGAGTCAGCAGAACTTTGCCAGGAAAGCTGCGACCTCGTAGTAACCTGGATGAAGTGTAGGTTAGAAGACATGCTTATATTTATTTAGGAACCCTGTCCATCAAACATGGATAGAAGAAGAATTTGATCATAAGATTAGCAAAATGGAATTTTCATGATGGAGGTAGGTTTTCCATCTTAAGAAATGTCTGAACCTTTCCTCTATCATCTCTGATTCTCTTTGACTGAACCTTCTTAAAGAAGCTAAAGCTATTTTGTTTTCCACTTCAAAGTTTTAGGTCAAAGAAAGCTCATGCTTCATCCCTATGCCTTCTCAAAGTGAATAACTTAAACAACAGTATTAAATGATAAAGCAGCAGTAGCACAAGAACGTGCAATGTTATGTTGGACTATCTTGATTAAGCATACAGAATGCACCATTTAAATAATACAATAAAATGAACAAAACATCCTGATCAAACACATTAGGTGAACAAACCCAACAAACAATAATAACTGAAAAAAAAATTGGCTGAATTAGGCAACCTAGAGTTACATACGAATTCATACATCCATTTAGGACGTGAAACAATCCTGTGACTCACTCTGGTAACCCCTGGGTCACTAAATGAACAGATCCGAAAGCCAATCATATTGGTATTTCACTTTCTAGCAATGAAGAATCCATTTTTCCACGAACCCAGATCAATTCTCCCATTACCCCATCAAAATCGAGAGACAAACCCACAGTAAACCATCAAGACCCAAACTTTTCATGCAATTCCTCTCGTACAAAGACTAACCTACCAAAATTCCGCTCTTTTCCCCCCGATCCTACACTAACATTGGCACCAAAGATCTAGATTTGGTTTCACGGAAGCAACTAAGCATCCGACACAAAGCCAAAAGGATCCAATAAATCGGGATCAGGAGGAATGATCACACTAACCCTTGAACATTTCGGAGGGTTTGGTTGAACCTCCATTCAAGATTGGGACTGGGGTTCCCACGGCCAGTGCCGCCTTCGCCGCCGCTCATCTCCTACCTCACGCGGTCGTCTCCTCGGCCGCTCTTCGTGGCTTCGTGCCTCTCGTTCTACTCCTCCCCGTATATAGAGGCTATCGCGCAGCCTTCCCCTTCGATTTCCTTGCAGCTATTCAATCCCCCTTCGGCGGACATCCAAAAGTAACGAAGACGGGGGTGGTTGCGGTTGGCGATCTTGAGGTGAGCCCAACGCACGATCACATGAAGCTTGTGAACACGAAATTTGATGCTCGATCTGAACCGACTGATCAAAATTGGACGGCTGTCGATAACCAACTAATGGAATGTCGATCAAGCCATCTGAAATGTCCAGGGGGTGCTCCCCGTAAATCTAAGTTGCGTGGATGAAACACCCCTTGGAAAGTTCATGGGTGATTGTGCTCTCACACACTTGCTGGACCCACAAATTTGTAGGCCCGTACCCCTGAAATATTTCAAGGGTGACCTGGGTGGATATATATAGCAGTACTTATACGACAATGATATAATATATTTGTGCTATTCCTCTCTAATGGACACCAAATACATATGAAACCAAAATGAACATATAGTATTGAAGTTTTATAAATAATTAATATTATGTAAATATATTATTTATATTTTCCATGAGTGTTATGCTAAAAATATGTAAATGTCATAATTTAAAAAGCAGTGCATTCCAAATAACATAAACATAAGTGGTAGCATAAACATTTAATGTAAAAAGCAGTATTAAGCCTAAACAAAAGTTTTAATTCCTAAAAGAATTAAATATTTTTGAAGAATTTGACTCTTTTTGGCATATTTTAATGCAAATAGCATTAGAATTTTTAAAGATAAGATTATATTCTAAAAGTACTATTACATATTTAATTAATTTTAATGTAAGTTATTTTTGTAAAGATGGAATCAGCCAAATTCAAGATCGATTAAAACACTAAATTGACCAAATTCAAAAGCACAATAAACAAAAATGAGAATATTGCCATACGAGGGATGGTAGTGCAATAAAACATCTTGATCCACTTTGATAGGCTCAATTCCATCCACCATGATATGAAGTCTAAATCTAAGTAGCTTTGTGCAATTTGGCTTTGAAATTGTTGGAACACATAAAAATCTAAAGATAATTAATATTTCAAGCCATCTGGTAAAAACATGGTTTGAACCATTTGATAATTTTTAGCAATGATGTAGGATAAGTAATAGCAAATTCATTTGATAATAGAAAATTAAAATAATAATAATAATAATAATAGAAAAAAAATAAAAGTATAACTATCATATTTGCAATGACTAAGGATAATACTTCCATGAAGGTGTGCACATTCGCATGTCTTACACACAAAAGATGAAATTATTTTATGACCTTGTACCACTCACATACAAGGTGAGAAAAAAAACTCAAGCTTGATTGTTCTGATTGATCTAAATTATAATGTTTTTATCTCTTTCTATAGATCCAAATATAAGAATAAAAAATATAGAAATAAGAAAAATAATAATTATATCGAACCAAATATATGATCTCAATATTCCTGATTTGAATATAATCTTCCTTATTGATGATATTTTTGATAGATTGACTTTGGTTTCCGTAGAACTAAATCTTTAAGATCTTCAATTAAGCTTTATAATATTTGATCAAGATCCAATCTGATTTTCTTCTTTTATTCTACACTTGTTTTCTTTTTCTGTTATTGAATAGATATTGTAATGTGACAAATCTCTAAATCAATTAAATTTATTTTAATAAAATTAATTAATTGCTCCAGCATCTCTATGTATATCTTTAAATTCCTACTTATATATTTCCTATGCTACACTTATAGCAATGGTATATGCATATACCTATTAGTGCATGATATAAATTTTCAATAATCTTTCGATATGGATAATCAAAGAAAATTATAAGTTTAAGAAATTTTTATATAGTGTCCCGAGTTTTAAAAATTCTCAAATAGCACTCCTAGCCACGTGATATAATTATTTTACCTCTAGCTTCATCAGAATCACTATTGCCTCCTCCTCCCTACATTACTTTTGTTAGGGGCATCATGAGCATGGAGGCGAGTGATTACTAAGATTAACATGTGCGATATATAAGAGTCCAATGGAGAAGAGAGGAGTGGCTCACGAGGCTAAACCACAAGCAAAGGAGAGAGGTGATTGACGGGGCCAATTTGCATGTGGAGGCATAGGTAGTCAAGGGAGGATAAGGGGTTACAAGTAAGGTCAAACCCTGGTGTAAGCGACTAGGGGAGGGCAATTGACGGGGTGGAGGGGGGCGGTCGATGAGCAAAGGGTGATGATCAATAAGGGTAGGATAACTATATTGAAAAAATAGGGGCACCATTGAGAAATTTTGTACTTTATGAAATATTCCTAAACTTAGAGGGTTTTTCTTAGAATTGACCTTTTTCTTTTATTATTATATAAAAAAAATATTTATATGAATATGTTTTAGAACCAAAAACATAAGATTTGTGAACAGTTGAATCAACCATTATTATGTTCAATTGTAAAAGAAGATTTGAAGTTCCATATCTTGATTCTGCCCTTGATTTTTGATAAATCATTTATCTTTGGTGGATTATTTGTCTTTGATAAAAAGATTTAAAGTTGCATAAAGTCACTTTTCACCTATCCCCTACCAAAGCAAGCCTACTAGGCTCCTCTATTCGTCCTTTATCTACGTGACATCCCTAAGCTCTTCCCTTCTACTTTTGATGTCTCTTTCTCCATAACTCTTTTCTATCAATCGTTTATATCCTCCACACCACCCATAGTCTTACAGGATGATCAATCTTCCCAAACTTTATCTTTGTAGTAGCACCTTCTTGCAAAACCCTCCTAACCTTTTCTAGGGAGCACATGGTGTTTAAGCCTGAAAGCCGGACTCTTCACTGTAGGGTAAGTTATAGAAGACCCAATCACGATTTTCCTTATGCATTGAGCTTGACTTGAGAAACTTCTCCCTGACTATTGTAGAATTGAAGAACACACTCTATAGTAAGTTCCTTAGTAAAACCCCTCTTCTTGAATACCTTAGATTATTCCTCCGTAGGCTTAGTAAATCCCTTTAAGTGCCACATCATCGATTAGCCACCGGTTATTTTTATTTTCAATTTAACTCTGAAACTAAAATGCTCCATACTAACCCTAATTCCTTAAAAGCCAAACCTTCAACCTTTTCTTCAAAAATATATTTGATTCCACCTAAGCTTCTAAGGGTAATGTTGAGGTGGGTCCAAGGATTCTCAAATAAGATTTGACTTCTATGTAGATTTGGATGGCTCATTTGTAGCATTTGAATAACCCATAAGTATGAGATTCATTATCAAGACTACAATAAATACTTTTCTACGAGAGAAGATGATCATGTCAAACTTTCAATCTTATTATAGCTGAAGCCTTAGCTTTGTTTGGAGGCCTCAAAACCATAACTACTCTATCGAAGGCTTTTGGATCAAATCGGACTCCCTTCAACTTCTAGTCTTTGCCGAGGGATTCTCCCTCATTTTTTAAGTCTATATTTTATAATATTTTTTTATCTTTTCGAAAATTTTAGTTCAGTAAAGTTTATTCACTTACCCAAATCTCTTAACAATGTAAGCCATTTGTTAGCTTTTTTTTTTTGTCAAATCTCTTTATTTTCAATTTTTTACTTTGTGGATGACCAACAAGCTTTACGTTTCTATACTTAGCTTCTCAATAATATAATTTTTTATTTTTCTTAAAAAATAAAGTGAAGTCTGATATGTTATAAATAAGTAATTATCTTGAATATATCAATCATATTTTTTTTTATTTTTCATTAGAAAAGATCAAATCTTTGATAATTCCATCGATTGAGTTATGAAAATTTTATTTTATATAGATTTTGTTTTACTTCAGTTTCAATAATTTTTCCATCAATTTTATAAAATCAAGTTTAAATATATGGAATATCAAAATTTCCTCCCAGTGGCTATATAACATTTATTTATAAATATTTTCATTTGAGACATCTAAGATATAAGATAGAAAAAAAAAGATATTCAGATAATTTTTTATCCTACATCTAAGTCTGTGGAAAACTAAAATATCATCTTTAAATTTCAAGATATTGATTGTGTTTGTTGCAATCTAATTAAATTCTACATATTTAATCAAATTTTCAAAAAGAAGATTCCAATGCAATTAAAATTTTCCACATTTATACATATTGTTCCTAATAACCTTTACCTAAATCTTTTAATTTTTTGTGTCAAAACAATCAAACATGAGCTTAATTCTTTGAAATAGATCAGTTATTCAATAACTTAATGGATATCTGATGAAAGAAAAGATTACTACAAGAGTGGATTTTCCCTTTTATGTTATACTCACAAAAGAGGAACTTGTACCTTCTCTGTGTTCATTCTCTGGACAATTACAAGTTGTGATGCATTAAAGCTTAGTAACCAAATGATGGAAATTGCAAGATATTATAGTAGTCAAAGTCTACACAAATTTGAAGAGAAATGAAGAAGAAGAAGAAGAAGAAGAAGAAGAAGAAGAAGAAGAAGGAGAAGAAACAGCCTCTAGTGTGCACTTGGTCTTTTCATAGTACTGAAGATTGTATACTTGGTGTTAAAGCTATCTAATGGCTTAAATATATTATAAAGGTTGAGAGATTCATGCATGAAGCTAACCTTCCAATTATTGTATTCTGGATTTAGTTCTACAAGTCTAAGGACCTACAGAGATATATAGATTAGTATACTTATCTAAAGTGAAACATTGACTAATTGATAGCTACTGTTAGTCCTCTATCATTTATCTTTTTCTTTCTCTAAAACAATTGACAAATATTCTGTCATTCATCATAAAATAGACTTCAACACCATTAATGTTTCTTTGTCCAATTCCTGATATTTCAGACATCTTTGTTCATGATGGGCATGTAGAATTGAACCTTGACCATCTACATCTGTCTACCAGATATAGATTGGTCCATCATAAGAAGATCATGCACCTACAGAATGCAAGAAATCTACGTCTATCCATTTAATTCTTTTGCACTGCTGTCTGTCTTATGGGTGAATCATTGCTTGGCTACAGGTCAGTTTTCATTAGTATAAGTTAGATGAAGTGGAAATCCACTTTTCCTTTGGGTATCCATTTAATCCAAAAGAAATCACCCACTTCAGCTTTAATAACTTATGCAAATCCTTGAAGGAAGAACAATGAATAATTTATTTCTTCCTCCAACTGCTCTCATCTACTGTGCTGTTCCATCTTGAAAGATCATTCTCTCTTTCCCTCTGAAAAGAAAACTACCCTTACGCATATATATAGCAGATACGTATCAGCCAAGATCAGAACCAGGAAGTGATGGAGATGAAGAACGTCTCTTCTTGCTTCTCCACCTTCATCCTCCTACTCTTGAGCTTCACTTCCTTTGTCAGCTCTCAGTCAGACTCCTGCTCCTCTAAGCTAACTGTTAGCAACCTCATTCCTTTCAACACCTCTTCCCTCACCTGCATGTCTGCATGGAGCTCCGAAGGATTCATCCTAAGGGTATACGACATGGTCATGGTAAATCCTTACTTATTTGTCATATAGAATCTAACGCTGCAAGGATTGCATGCATGTTCAGTATGAGAACGCAGGGCCAAGTCTGTGGAACTTTGTGCTCTCAGCACCTGATAAAGGGGCGTACATCGCAATTGGCTTCTCTGGCAACGGCAGGATGGTCGGGAGCAGCGCCGTGGTCGGGTGGAAGTCTAGCAGCGGCGTGGCCATCGTGAGGCAGTACTATCTCGGTGGGTATAGCTCGAACCAGTGCCCGCCGGACAAAGGGAGCCTTTCATTAGTGCAGGGGAGCTCGTTCATAGTGTCGCAGAGTTCACGGTTGTACCTCGCCTTCCAGCTCAGTACTGCGCAGCCTGAGTCGAGTCTGGTCTATGCCGTCGGGCCGTCGAACAGTCTGCCGTCGTCCGGTGGCTATTTGTCTACGCACAGAGACATGGCTTCCGGCACCTTGAGTTCTCCTGCTGGCGGCGGAGGTGGCGGTGAGTGTTTCCTGGTTCATCCATTAGACCAGAAAAGGATATCGAAACTTGAGCTTGTGATGTGCAGGGGATGATGATGGTGATGACGATGAGCATGGACGAAAAGGAGACGGGGAAGGAGAATCGTCGAGCGGACGAAAGAGGGGCGGCGACAACGACAGCGATGGAGAAGACGCAGTGGCAAGGAGATCAGGCGGAGGCTTGAGCTTAGCCAAGAAACATGCGCTGCTGACCATCTTGGGGTGGGGGATTCTGTTGCCCATCGGAGCAGCCACGGCTCGATTCCTGAAGCACCACGACCCGCTCTGGTTCTACTCACACGTTCTCGTTCAGGGGGTCGCCTTCGTCGTCGGGGTCAGCGGCGTGCTCGCCGGCTTCAAACTTGAGCACAACCTGGGCGACGGCCGCGACATCGACGCACACAAGACCCTTGGCATCTTCGTCTTAGCGTTCGGCGGCCTGCAAGTAAGATCGTCATGGCACAAACACTCACCAAATACACAAACAAGATAATCGATGCTACCCAAAATTTGCAGGTCATGGCGGTTCTCATGAGGCCAAAGAAGGAAGCCAAGGCGAGGAAGTACTGGAACTGGTACCACCACAACGTGGGACGGGCGGCGATCGTTTGTGCAGTGGCTAACATCTTCTATGGATTGTGGTTGGCGAAGGAGGCCCGAGACTGGAGCTACGGCTACGGCATCTTCGTGGGGGTTTGGGTGGTCGGCTGCTTCGTTCTGGAGGAGTGGAGGAGGAAGCATGTAGCGGAGTGTACCGTGTGTTAGGATTGCGTTGCATGGCTCTGCATGCATTACTTTGATTCTTGTGGCTGTGCATAGAATCTTATTTTGACTGTTCCTCTTTCTTCTTCTCGAGCGTGTATACTTGTTCTTTGATGGTGAAATCATTGTTGGTGTTTTTATCCTTCATGCATCCATGTCTTAGGCAACGTGATGTGCATCAAACTGTGCACGAAGGATCATCCAGTGCTCACATTCATCCAAACTTGGATCTTCCACTGCTGATGCATGAGAAAGATCAGTCCATGAGTTCTTCAAACTAAACTAATGCCTATCGGAAGAAGATTTAGTGATCTAGAATGCATATAGATCTGGTTACATGGATCGAATTGATTACTAGCAGCAGGCGCAAAACAGGCGGCGTTGCACATCCACAGCACACTGTTTCAGGAGATTGTTAATCTGATTCTTGGTCATGGTGACATGCACTTGGATTATACAATGTTTCTCAGATAAAATAGCTTCATTTGTTCTCTCTCTCTCTCTCTCTCTCTCTCTCTCTCTCTCTCTCTCTTACTGTTGTTCTTCTCCTTTATGAGTGCAAGAAAAAGACAGTCCTTCTGTAATGTTGACTACGCTTGTGGTGGACACAGACAGCTCTTCAATACAAAATCTGCAGCAACATTATCAATCGTCAACCACCCTTTGACAACCGACAAATGAAGACGTATCGACGTGACATTAGGTAGCCAAAGAGAATCGATTACAAGGAGGTTGAAGACGAACAAACGCGTGGAAGTCGGCGTAAATGGCGTGTGCCAAGCACACGGAAACGGACCAGAAATAGCACCAGAATCCAACCAAGGGAATCCAAGAAGTCAACGGTGAGAAACGGTGGGCGCATATATACTGCTTGTGTGTGGATTGGGTAGACTGAGAAGATCAACACACCAAACCTTGAATTATATGAGGGGTTGAATTTTTAAGACCTAAAACGTACAAGAATTTAACAAAACAAAAACAAGAATATGATGAGGTAAATTTGGTTATCAAACCCAAAGTAACAAAATTGATCCAATATAATCTATTTTTCTGGAACAGATGAAAAGGAGTTCATTTTACTTGATGACAAAGAATGTTAATATCTGATCTTATATAAGAAAACTATACAAAAGATATATCAGATAAAATCCCTCTGACAATCGAGTTAATTTAAATTTATTGTAAACGAAAAGAAACTCTTGAAAAGTTTCAACATTTGAATTTTATTTAATTAGTATGGAACAAAAATATGCTTTATATAAGGTTTTCTTGTAATATTGTTGGTAATATAATTTTAAATGACTGACTTTGTGAAAGAATATTCTCTTTACATATCATTTTGATAATATTTTATCATTTTCAAGAAATATGATATCTTGTTATTCGGGTGAACTCTACATGTTGAGTCATGATCGACGAAAAATAATTGTTGTATTAGAATCCTAAATTAATTTATCATAAAATTTTCTATTTACATATCGGATTCATCATTATGGTTATGATATTTTTCTTTAGTACCCTCTTAACTTATATATCAAATACATAGTTTGATGTCACAATGGTGTTCCATTCTAAAGATTCTGGTTCTCTCTCTCTCTCTCTCTCTCTCTCTCTGTAAATTCTTCTCTTGCCTCTGAAAACATCTTCATCTTTCATCTGACAGATGAACCAAGACACAATTAAATTCCATTAGTTCAAGGTCATCCTTAAGACTTGAAATCAGACAAACCATTACCTGGCCAGGTTGCACAACACTGCTACTCCACCTAATGCTAACCCACCTTTAAGATCAAATTGGTAGTGTTCTGCAGCATGACCATGGCGTGTGGAATCCACACTCGATGAGGATTATATTAATCCAAACAAAGGTATAGATATTCTATGCCCATGTGATGTGGAGAAGGTTCAGGCAACCTTTCCCCGTCCTCCACCTTAAACCATCGTAAACAAATGCCCACTTGAGGATTCCTCCACATCCATGACGGCAGCAGTGACAACGAATGCCTCTCAGGGAAGCAAAAGGAAGCAGCCATGTCTTTTCCTTAGACGAAGATGGATCCGTCTTGTCTACATCATCATGCATTTGTAGATTGCCAAATGACTTGGTCTCAGAAATGCACGTCAAAGCCAGAAGAGCTGCTTGATGACACCTTTCTATAAGAACATGAAAGCAAGAGCTTCTGCCTTCACCTCCTCGGTCTTCTTCATCTAAGAACACCTCACCAAGGAAGGCCACAGTAAAAGAGAGGAGATGGAGAGGAATAACACCACCATCTGCCTTGCCATCTTCCTTCTTTCGTTCGTTAACTTCTCCTCTCCTGCCAACTCCCAGTCAGACTCCTGCTCCTCACAGCTCAGTGTCAGCAACCTCATCCCTTTCGACACCGCTTCTTTCCACTGCTTCTCTGCCTGGAACTCCGAAGGCTTCATCCTCAGGGTACTCGTTTGATTCCTTCACCTTCATGCATCAGTATGTTCTGTAGCAGAACGCAGATCTAACATACAGCATCGCCTCACAGTACGCACAGAGTGGACAAAACCTTTGGAACTTCGTCCTCTCCGCTCCCGACGCCGGCTCGTACATCTCGATCGGCTTCTCGAGCGACGGGAGGATGGACGGGAGCAGCGCGGTGGCGGGGTGGATCACCTCCAACGGTCCTGGGATCGTGAAGCGGTATTACCTGGGGGGGAAGAGCTCGAGGCAGTGCCCGCCCGACCAAGGCAGCCTGCAGCTGGTGGCCAACAACTCGCTGATCGTGTCGCAGTCGTCCCGCCTCTACCTCGCCTTCCAGCTGAGCACCTCGCAGCCCGCGCCACACCTCATCTACGCCGTCGGTCCATCGAACAGCATCCCTTCGTCGGATTACTACCTTTCTACTCACCAAAACCAAGCATCTGCTTCCATCAATTACGCCACAGGTGAGCGAGCACCAGCGATACTTTCCTAACCGGATGAGTGATTCTCACAGTGCTGCATGGATCAGGGGTGGCGTCTAATGCTGGAAGCAGGGGATTCCCAGCCAGAAGATGGCATGGGCTGCTCACCATGTTGGGGTGGGGAGTTCTGATGCCTGTAGGAGTAATCATGGCGCGATACTTCAAGCATCTGGATCCTCTCTGGTTCTACTCCCACATCTCCATCCAAGGCATCGGATTCGTGCTCGGTCTGGTCGGCATCATCGCTGGGTTCAACCTTGACGATAACCTGCCTAATGCTGACACCCACCAGGCCATTGGAATCTGCATCTTGATCTGCGGCAGCCTTCAGGTACCACCAGTTCATCATCTGCTGTCCTCAGGAACCAAAGGAATGCCATTAACATTCTTGTTCTGCAGGTCATGGCATTCCTCATACGACCTGACAAATCATCCAAGATCCGAAGATACTGGAACTGGTACCACCATTATGTGGGCAGGGCTGCGATCGCCTTGGCGGTGGCAAACATCTTCCTGGGGTTGTCCGTAGCACATGAGGACCGTTCATGGACTGTTGGGTATGTCATCTTCCTTGTCGTCTGGGTGATTGCCAGTCTTCTCCTCGAGTTGAAGAGGCGCATGAAGAAGGATGATCTGTAGCACGAGTTTTGATTCCCTGTCCTCGTTTTTTGTTCATCCCGATGTTGCAGAGAGTTGATTTCTCGCTACCGTCTTACCATTGTATTCATTTTACACCTAGTTATATATATTATTCTTCTTGGTAAGAGTTGATGAATTGCCATGAGCAAGAGGAGGTTAAAGCAGCAAACATACTGAACATTGAAACATTATCCTTCACATAACATGGCTTGGCCACTCCGAAACAATGTTAGTCATTTGTGTGAACAAAGTTTGGCTATTTTGGACTGGCTTTTCTGAAGTCAAGTTCTGAAACTTTGTATTTGGATTAGAGCTTCCTTTGGATCCTTAATTCTAATGACAGAAGAAACATTGAGACAAGCAAGGAAATTAGAGGTCCAGCTTGCAGTAATTGAACAGACTAATGATGATGGGAGGTGAAGAAACACAATCAAACATCTTTTGATTGCAAATGGTCAGATGGTGGAGAATGGATCAGATTAAACAGGAATGGTAGGAGTACTACAACTAAAAATGAATATAATATTTACGGATTTTTAAAAATATTATTATATTAAATGATAGATATAATACTCACACGTAGATTCGAACTCGAAATTCTTGTGTAATATTATCTTAACAAAGATAATATTTCTGTCTATTATGGCCAGGTTTTATCTCTCTTAAGCAAGCCCCATATCTTATATTTTTTTTTATCAAAATTATTAATTACACTAAAAACAAGAAAAATCAATCTCTTGTAAATTAAAAAAAACACATTTTCTATGAATTATTTTTATTTCACACATTCATATTATATGTGAGAAGTGATTTTGGTCTAAAAATTAAAAAATATATATAGGAAAAGTGGTAAACCTCTTGTAAGCAAGATTTTATTATTTTGTGGCAAAATATTGGAATCTCAAAATATTTCAAAAAATTATTTGAGCTATTATTATCGCTTTAGGTTTTAGAAATATAAAACATCTAAAAAAAATACTATATTTAAACAAATTGATAAAAATAAAAAATATATTCATTTCATTAAATTAATACATAACATTAGACCAAGATGTATCAAGAAAGTAAGATGTATTTTCCAAACAAATTGCTCAAAATATTGTTTTCCTACAAAAATTATCCTACCCACTTAATATTCACAACAGGATGCGTTCAAGAGGGCTCGAACTCTGATTTCTCGATCGCGTACGGAGCGCCTTAATAAACGTGCCCGCACTGATCCTTGATGGATGATATCCCAATCTTAGACCGGCCGGTTCATCTGAAGCCGCAGCCACGGCCCAATTCCGACGGCATCGACCACAGGCGCCTAGAAATCCCTAGAATATAAGAGATCGACCATGTTAATTGAAGCCTCCCCAAAACGATCCCAAGATCGGACTGCGCGCATCGTGTGGATCTCCAGCGGCAATCCCCCTTCCCGACCAGTAGGTGCGAACAATCGTTAATCTCCCTCCTTGCGTTTTCCCCGGAAACAAAACCCTTCTCTTCATTTGTCGTGTGATTCTCACTACTTATCGACTGCTAGATCTGTTAATTTTTTGATTGGCTATTTAACAGCGGGATATAAATTGAAATTGACAGATGGTTGGTGTGACTCTTGATCATCAAATTTTTTGTTTTTGGGGCACAGGGTTTGGCACTGTGAATCCAATTTCTTGTTTGGGGTCAGAATAAAAGATCCGTGGATGATATTGGGCACCGTGATCATTGTCTCGTGCTACTTTTAAGTATACAGATACTATCTCTTGCATTTCAAGTGTAGATATTGGGCACTGTGATCATTGTCTCAGGCTACTTTTAAGTATACAGATACTATCTCTTGCATTTCAAGTGTAGGTTCTGAGCTGTTTAGGGATTTTTTTAACCGTGATTCGTTGATCTTAAGCTGGTTGTAGAGAGATGGGGAAGCCACTGATCTATGAAATATGGGAAAAACCTGCGAGTAGTTGTGTCATAGGGATATGCTCTGCGATTTGGTTCTACATTCAGAAGAAAAACATTGGCTACTCGAATGTGGGATTGAGTTACGAGACGGCGATCGCAGGACAGTATTGGAGAATCATTACATCTGCGTTCTCCCATATCAGTGTCGTGCATTTGGTTTTTAACATGAGTGCGCTTTGGAGCCTTGGAGTCGTAGAGCAGCTGGGCCACCTGGGCCTCGGGATCGAGTTCTATCTCCAGTATACTCTTGTTCTGGTAGTCTTATCGGGAGTGTTAGTTCTATTAACATATCATATTCTGATTCAGAAATTTAAGCTGGAATACTTTAGAAGAGTGACGGCCGTGGGCTACTCATGTGTGGTCTTCGGGTGGATGACGATTCTTGCAGTGAAGCAGCCATCTTCGAAGCTGAATCTGTTTGGGGTTCTCTCTTTGCCAATCAGCTTTGCACCCTTTGAATCGTTAATCTTCACTTCCATAATTGTACCCCAAGCAAGTTTCATCGGCCACTTGTCTGGTATTATTGTTGGCTATTCAATAGCCTGGGGTTTGATTCATGGCATGAGCAATTACTGGGCAATTTCAATGCTTGGATGGCTTATACTCATGTTTATACTAAGCCTGAAGCGCACTGGGGCAGTTGACCTCCCCTTCATTGAGATTGAGCCTGTTACAGATCCTTCACTTCCTGCTGTCGGCTTTATTCCTTCTGGTAATGGACGAACTTTGCAGATGAATATTTTACATGGCAGAGGTGCGGAACTTGTGTAACTTTTGGAGAAAAATACATCGCCAATAGCGGGCACATAACATCGCTTGCTTGGAACACCCAAGAGGAAATATAATATTGTTTTTTATTATTATTCTAATGGTAAAAGATTGTGTTGTTTCTAGATGTCAGAGAATTCCAATTGTAAGCATTCTCATGGTCATGACACAAAATTGTTATGCAAAGTGTTGTATATGTTTCAGTCAATTCATGTCTTTGAAAAAAATCAGTTTTGGAGCTTTACATAACTGAATATGTGGACTGTAGATGTCATATTTTAATGGTTTCAGTCTCAGATCTTGGAACTTGAGTTTTATGTGTCATATGTTCTAGTCAAAATAGAAACATCTGGTTTTGTATTTTCTATTCTTCACTGCCACTAGCCAAAACTGGTTTTGTACTTTCTTTCATCGTGAGATATTTTACAGTTATCTACAGTTGAGGAGGATCTCTTGTGGGCTAACTTGTTAAGCCATGCATTTACAAGCCAATGAATTGTGATTATTTGGCATATTGTGCAATACATGATGAATGACTTTTTGCATCTTTTTAAGTGAATTTTCGAGAGTTGTTGAAAGTTATTTTTAACTGCTTCAAGTAATCAGAACCAGATTTCATAGATAGTGAATCATCATTGCATTTTATTTTACGTGATATATCATTTGTTGTATTTGTAAAAGTAAATTGGTCATTCATTCCTTTATCTATATAGTTTACCTCTGCTTATGGATTTTGATGATGGAAGTTGACAGGATGTTCCTCTCGCATTCTCTTCTCTTCCCCCTGTAGTTGTGTGATGATTAATCATGGAGCCCATCTTGATTTCATGTGGAATTGGTTTGCTTTGCATTCAAAGGAGCCAATGATTCAACTGTGATAGTCATGTATGTATTTGTTCTGTTTCAACCTTCCTGCAATACAGAAATCAGCTCACTGGTAAATTAAGATTTGACCTGCAATGATATCTCCTCATGTGGGAAAATTTGTGTTGCCGTCGATCATTTGATTACAGAGGTGTAAAACAGTTACAGATCATCCAACACTTTGACTGTGTGCCAACAGACATGCAGGTTATTTGTTGTCGATAAAGAATCTCTAATCAATACATATGTACAAATGATACTAATGTTTTCATGAATAATCTTAATTTTCTATTCATTCTTAATCTGTGTTTTATGTTGTGAATTTAAGATTTTAAAAATGAGAAATAATTTAAAATTATGTATTGAAAGAATTATTTAGTGCTTATTAGTGAAAAAGAAAGCCTATGCTACTTTGTATTAATGTTAAGTGGAATTTTGAAAAACGTAATACATTATAAAATAGGTTAATTTTTTTTTTCCAAAGAATTTGACTTTAATTTTGGCACATTTTATTAAGCATATATAGACCAAAGACTTTGAAAATAATATTACAAGTTAAAAACTCTGTTAAATATTCATAAGAACATTAGTGGAAGCTATGTATCTCTTGCTAACATCTGGAGACTAATGAAAAGTATTAACACTATCCAAATATGTTATAATTTTAAGACTAATTAATTAATAAATTACAAGATTTAAATATCTTTTAGCACAGTATTGTACATTTCTGCAACATTTTACAGTAAGTTATATGTATTGTTAATGTAAGCATTAGTACAAATTAGTAAGTTATATATATTGGTAATGTAAGTATTATACCATTTTCAGGAATTCCTTCAACATTATGTAAAAATAAAACAACTACTATAAGAAAGAATCAATTCACAAAATTTCTAGTCCAAATTACCTATGAATGATATACATTATATTTTGTATACCTTAAAAAACGACAATTACTTTTAAAGGATTTAAGTCCCTTCAGTATGTTTTTATATTAGAAATATCGACTAAAAATTAAACACGATGTAATATTTTTTATTAAAAACTCATGAGAACGGTAAGGTAAATCCATTGCTATGTAAGAATCTAATATATATCAGCCATAAAAACACAAACCTTGAAGCTTTTCCTAACCATACCAAGGTTCGCAATAGCATCATCTTGTGGATCATCTGGTTCTCATGTAACCTTGAATGTGAGTGCATGAGCTGAATTGAGATCACAACCTGCATTTTTCTCAAGGAACAAATCAACCAGAAGAACACAAGCAGGCATGGAATTTGTATAAACCTCTTTTATATTGGTACCGTCAGAACAATGATAGAGGGAGGGGCTTAAAAATGATGCAACATCATCAACTTGTTTCGACCCAAATGTATCCCCACACACCAAAGATCCAATATGTGAAATGGAATAGCTGAGGCTCCAAGCTCCAAACTGCAAGTTACCCAGTTGTACCACCATGGGAAATAGCTCAGCAAGAGCATTAATTTTCATTCAGATGCCAAGCAAGAATTCTGCAAGTTACCAACCATGATAGCTTACATACTAACCAAGAGGACCGACTACAAATAGATAATCACATTCATCGTCAGCAAATCTGAGTTGCTTTGGATGGTTCAGATACTATAACCAACGAGAAACAAGCAGGCGATACTTCATGGATAGGATTTAGATAGCTATGGAGCACAAACCATTTTACTCTTGAGCACTGTTGTTGTCCGATGTGGCCTCCCCACGTTGGTTCTGAGAAGTCGATGATCCCTTCATTCTTAGGTCTGCGGGTGGTTGCTGCTGTGGCTGCAGGGTGTGTAAATGCTGCAGCGATGACGGCGGCTGAATCTGATGTGATGGCTGCAGCTGTTGTGGATGCTGAGAATGGATCTGGAGTTGCTGAAATTGGTGGGCTGCCAGGAGAGAGTGCATCGCTTGATTCTGATGGTAAAATTGATGATTTGCCCCAAGGGAAGGTGGAATGGTGTTTGTTGACTGTCCACCATTTGGTAGCATCTGGCCTGTAGCCAGCTTCAGGTGCTGAACCTCTTCTCTTAGAGCCTCATTCAGTGCTACACCAATCAATAAGAGATTCAAAGTACATAATTGAGTTGTTGAACAGAATAAGAAAGCCCTTTGATAAGTAAACAATTAGTATTGCATAAAAATGAGGAGATTTCATTTTAAATTCCAACTAGACAAAGGCATTATATATAACGGTCACAATTGGCTTAGGATGTTCAATGGAATACTAATATCAAACCAAACAACCAGCTACACGAAGGTACATATATATCAGCAGATCTTGTAACAAACACCATCAGAGAACCTTATGTTGTGCCCATGAATCAAGAACCAACTAATCAGGCCACTAGCACCATTAATTTCATTACTCTTGAATGAGGAAGTTCATAAGTTAATATGGTTAAAAGATGAATGACCGAAAGATGTCTGAACCTGAACAAATCTTGTAAAGGAACAAATGCAAATGCCAGAAAATCATTCTTACATAAACGAATTTTAGCTATGAAATTAACAGATGCACAATACACGATGAGAACCATACCATCCTGTAAGTGAACCTGCTGTTCCATGGTCTGCAATCGCAGTTTTAACTCGTTATTTTCAGCCGTTAGGCCATTGGTGTCTCTCTGTGAATGACAAAATTATTTTTGGTGAATCTTTTGCACATCTCACAGAATTTGTCATATTCATATGTCAACTAGGAAAAGATATGCAGGAGTACAAGATGATGAACTATACCACAATTGGCCAAAAAATTTAAAACATTGTCCTAATCATTTGATTTGTTATATATTTGAAAAATGGCAACAGAAAATTAAGTTATCGTTCTATGCATCATCGCATAAACATGGTATTGTTTAATAAAACTTACATCCATCAATAAAAAGAATCCAAGAGAGCTTTACAAGGATCCAATATGGTCCACTGTCTGTGTTTCATCACGTAGATAACAAGAGTCTTTGATTTTTCAGGCATTCACAAAAACCTCAAATACAAAATAAATGGAGATGGCATGCCTTAACATGTTTACATATATGAGCATGAGCAAAAATGTTTATAGCAAAATTCTGGATGAGGCTACAGCCCTCTTGGCTTTTGTGGGTAGGAATTTTTGTCAGGGTGGATATGGATCTATCCATTCAAGAACTAATTCCATATCCATTAAGTGGTTACAGAATAAAAAAATGAATCTGAAACTGATAATAAGAGCATACAAAATCAATAATCAAATCCATACCCAGTACTGTTTGGATATCAGCTTCGATTTAAGTTCTAAGTTGGCTTACAAGCAAAATGCATATCAGCTGTAGATATTGATACTATCACTATCATTAATTTACAATTAATTACAATATACCCACATGTAACTTAGCATGATTTCGACTTTTCTACCCATGATTTCACGAGTATCACTCAATCCAAGGTTTCATCTTTTAAACAATTAATCCTTGTCATCACCAATATCAAATTAAAAGTTAGTAATGTGGAATTGACATCATGGCATAGCTAACATTGTGGTAATATTCATGTGAACCCCACAGAATTTTATATACGTTGTGCTTTAATGGCATTAAGATGGTGTGTGTGCCATCCATGAGAACCAATGGAAATCTTACATCAGTTGTGCTCACATGTTACCAGCATGGCTCCTATGTGATCTAACATTAAACCACACAGTTCATGTGCATCCCAGAAGCATATGTGGATTAGGCATTGCATAAATATAGAGCACATATATGTCTACTCGGACAATATTGTATCCATGACCATGCATGTCATGTCAACACCATATTAACATTATTTTAAAGTTACAAAAGTGCTAAAGCATAAATAATTCTTAATTTTGTCTACTAATATGTCAAGCTTTTGGTATTAGCTTTAAATTTAAAATTAGCCTACTCACAATACAACCAAACACAAAGGATAAATGTTACAATCATATCTTTAAGTGTCTGATGAATAATGTCAAAGAATAACTTTCTGATGAAGTACAACATATAACAAAATGTGTCTGGTTCCCAACTATTTAAGGGTCGATCTTTTGTTGCCATTGTGGTCCCAGTGGAACCATATCCTTAATTAAGAATATTTAAATCTTCATTATAGTTTTTATTAAAACCATTTTAAATATTCATTTACCTTTCCTCGGACCACTTGCAGTAATCATTACTCCTATTTACTGCATCTGTAGATCAACTTAACATATGCTTATACTATCTTATTTTATCCTCTATCGAAGTGACACTCGTTCCTATTTCCTATCAACTCCATTTATCCATCTCAACATTCTCATCTTGATCAATACAAACATTTTATATATGTTACCTATTAACTGTCCAACATCTAAAAACTTTCTTATAATTTTTTTCTTTTAATCTCAGAGGTACCTGATGATTACATAAAATTCTTGACATCCTTCGTCATTTTAATAATCTTTTTTTTCTATGAATAATATTCTTATCAATCTCTTCATCTTATTGAATAACTAATTCATGATATCTAAATTTTTTATTTAATAGATATTTTTATCCATCCAATTTAACTATATGGTTTGTTCCTAATATTACTAAAACAACAGCTGACATACTCAATCTTAATCCTACTCAATATAAAATGTTTATTTTCTAGGTATTGTCCCCATAACTCAAGTTTAATATTATTCTATTTAGACTCTCATCAACTAAAAACGATATCCAAGGGATATTGTAAAACATAAGTGGAGATAATTATAAGCCAAGGGTGTAAACTAGACAAAACTTTGAGTAAATAACAATATACCCTCAAATTTTGGTATGACGGAATATTAAATACACATCCTATACTATATCAACCAATAGAACCAAACAATTACCAATTAACATGTTTTGAATATAAGCATATAAGATGTATGGATACACTTATCATACAATCATTAAGTATATAGAATTGACAATATGTATGTAAAATTGACAATGTGTCTTATTGGATATTTTAATGAATCACATAGTATTGTGAAAAATAACATAGTACCTGAAAAATCAGATTGGATTTGAATCTGATGCTATGTTTATTGGGGGTTGGAATCAAATGAACATGTTTAAAAAATCTATGGATTGTCACGAACTTGGCTGGATTTGCCTAAGTCATACGGCACATTTGTGTGTCCGTTTGCAAAAGGTCAACCTCTCGTAACCTCTTAGGGTCCCATAAGGACCTAGCAAAGAGAAGACATGTTAGAAGAAGCATTATACTTAAGATCACACAAATAGATATTTCAGCAAACACTTGATAGACAATGCAAATTACAAACAAATACTTCACAAGATCCGAATGGTCGAACGACAAAGGGTCTAAAAAGGTTCGTCACGGACAAAAGATCCCATGAGTGCCCATATCACACTATTGTGAAACAAGATAACGAACCAGCTCAACACAATACTCCAAAGGCCCATCCAACTATGTGCCACCCAGGGAGCTCCATGGTGTTGTACTGGCTAACACTTCGCGCCACTCTGCGCAGCCAGAAAACACCCAAAATAGTTGCCTAGATGGTATATTTTTAGGCAATTTTGCCTCTGGGTGATGACTGCACACAACCTTCGTGTACAGAACTGAAACGACCACAAAAACCAACTAAAATTAGGCTATCAAGCCAATTATAAGCCCTCTATATATTGTGTAAAGCATGAACAAAACTGAACAACACGAACATACAGAAACATTACATTAAACACCTTGTCAACAAGGATGTCTGTGATATTCTCCCCCACTTATTCTTTCGATGTCCTCATCAAAGCCTTTATAAACGCTACAACGTCTCGCCTTCGTTGAATCTTCAATCTTTTACTTTAGCTGCAATGCACCTCCCTGGGCTTTCAACTACTCTATGTCGTTGTTGTTGAGTAGTTGAACTTTGATCTGCCAACATTATTTTAACTCGCCACTAACTCTAACTCTGGTGTGGGGTTGGTCGAGTTATGCTGATCTTCGCTGGTCCCTACAAATCCTTTGGATGAAGGAAAAGACCTTTCCTATTGTACGCTAGTCTCTCAAACGTCTCGCGTCGCTTAAATTGGATGGATGGTTGTTGGAGCTTTAATATCACCTTGCAAATTTTGAAGTTTTTGAGATCTTTCCTTCGTAAAATTTGCCCATCGATTTCTCTTTTGCTTGGTTGTCACCTCCAAGTAAGTTTACATCATCTCTGCTTTCGATTGGTATTTTGTTGGGAAATAAAGCAGATAATCTACTCTCGGTAGAACCGATAGCCATTTGTGAGGATTTGACAAATATTATCTGTTATTACATCTCTTCGAAGGGTCTTTGAACAATTGCAAAGCTCGTCTGCCAAATATCTAAGAGAACTAGGGTACTTCGTTTCGCCCATTCTCTTAAGAGTTGAGAAGGCTCCACCTCGAGAGTTGTACTTCATACATTAAGCTGGTTACTAGCTTTAACCTACTCTTTGCTCACACTTATGAAGCACCTTAAGTGTTTGCAATCCTTGCGCTGAGTTAACTATTGTGATTCACCTTTTCATTGCCATCAAACTTCTGGAATGCCAGAAGGTTTGCTTGGAAAGAGCAAAATTTTGTCGCAACTAGAGCAAGTCTCTATTGGTTTTGGTGATGAGAAGTTTGTCAACACTGATCTTACATAGTTTCCTGGTCTCTACCCTTCTGCCTTATCATGATACTTGGAGTTTGCCTTTACATTCTCCACCTCCTCAACCTCTTTTACAACCATACGCTCTCCCTCCATGAGAGCAAAGAATCGATAACTCCACGGAAGTCCCGCCTCTATAGTACCATAGCGCTTTCAAGCCCATGGCCCTACTATCTATTACCTCGTATCTACGTTCCCTTTCGAGATTAGTAGATTTGCATCAATGGCACTATGGTACTATTTTGAATCTACCTCCATGCCGATTGATGCGTGGCTTTGGGAAGCTAAGTCTCTCTAGACTCATCGTCGCTTCTTTGCCCCTTTCAACCACCTGCTTCAACACCTTTGTGTTCTCCAAGTAGTTCACCTTAGTCGATAGAAACACAAACTACAACTCTTATGCATGACCTCCATTATCATGTTGCAAACTCATATCGATTTTGTTCTCCTTTGCATTCTTAACAGTAATGTTCGCTCGCTCGACCTTGTCCTTTGACTTGTTGGGATCCCTCGAGTGAATATGAGCTTTAGAATAGGCTAACTCTCTAGTCGCTCCGAGATTATACCTTTGTATGATCAAGATTCCCCATAGGACTCAATGATACTTGCATTCAGAATTCCTCCTCGGTGGTACGTAACCCCCATATGCTGATGACCAAAACTTTCATCTAATGCAAAATTTGATAGACGCACCAAAGCCTCACCTCTGTGGTACTATGACATTCACTCCTTAATTTCATAGCTCTTCTTGTTATCATGTTGCCCATCGAAGCGGGGCTCCTAATAGCTCCTGATCATACCTTTGTATGACCAAGTCCCTCACTGGACTTTTATATGTGTCACATTGCCTTAAATTGTTCCACCACGATTCGCTACACCATGTCGCCTCTTGGTAACATCTCTTTATTGTATTTTGATCTTTTTGCGTGATGAACTCGGACTATGATCTCTCCATATGTGGCCTCCGTCAGCTCATCGTAGGGTCTTCACCACCTCCGATTGTGTTCTCTCCTTCGACAATAGACCTTCGTCCACCCACTCTCGGGTCACACACGGATGAAGTGTAGCTTTCGGACAGCCTATCGCCCAACAACTCTTAAGATCCACCGACTTAACTAGTGGTTTGATGCATCATTGTCTGGATCCTACGCCTCTACCCCCAACACAATCTCCGCTGCACCCAACTCTCATTGTGGTAACTCGAATGGTAGCACTATGACATATTCTTCAAAGGTGCCCGCCTTCGTGCCCTCTTACCCTATGCCAATGCCTTCTGACTCCAGCTTCACTTCTGTAAGTTGAGTCACCTTAGCCCCTCTGTCAATTGTTTCACTGAGACAAGATACATGTGTCTCGAAGCTAACTTTAGCACCATACAAGATGAGTCGGCTCCATCATAATAAAGAACCAACATGATCCCACTCTTGCCTCTATAAGAGTTCATGTCCTTAACCTCTGTCTAAGAAAAGCTCTTATGCCTCTACTTTATGTTCCGTCTTCTACATCGACTCTCTTCATGCAACTTACGCACTCCACCAAATTCCACCCAAGTTGCTCCACTTCTCGATTCATATTGAGATTATGGTGGCTCTTGTATCCACCATTCCATGGGTCAACCCTTTGTTGAGCCCGATCTTCACTTTGACTCTAAGTGTTTCTTCGTTTGGTGTTGCTTTGGGTCGCTCCCCTATTTGATCTCATAATGCATCAACCAATACATTACCTCATGCGAGATCATGTGATGCCTCCTTGTCACAAGCTCGGTTCGTTGAGCTTTATAGAGCTTTTATCTTGAGGTACCTCTCTCGACATATGTGATCTGTTATACATGAATCTCCCTTTGGCCATCCCAAGACTTTCCTCTTTGCATCCTTCCCTCTGGAAGTTACGGAAATCACCATCTCCTTGACTACTCCGCCTTGTTGAGTCAACTATGCAATGTTTCGCCACCACAAACGTACTTTCTAGATTGCGACTCTTCACCAATATAGTCTCCATTGCAGCTTGCAAGGCCTAGTAATATGCTGAACCTGCTGCATAATTTAAACTTTTACGGATATATCCTTCTCATGCCAAAAAGAAAGTTTATATGCTTCATGGCGCTAAATTTCAATTGCCTTAGGATAGCCACGGATAGTCCGTCGTCCATATACAATCCCTTGCATGAGTACAAAACTCTTCGAGTCAATAATTTCCCTCGCCTCTGCGAGCTTTGTACAAACTCTTTCGGTTATCAAGCAACCCCTCCCTCCTTACACGATCTCATCAGTTGCCAAGTGACCCCACTTGCATAGAGCACCGTCAAGTTTGGTTGAGTTGCCTTATGATAGCCATGGATAATTCACTTGAGATGGCCATATATAGTCCATCGTTTGCATATAAGTCCTTGCATGAGAAACGAATTCTTCGAATCAACAATTCCCCCTCACCTCTGCGAGCTTTGCAAAAACTCTTTTGGTCGCCGAGCATGTCACGACCCGAGTCTGATGAGCCAACTAGCCGATAACTCCATTTTGGTCCTTCAACCACGGACCAAAATGCTTAAGCGGGAGTTTACGTAGTACACTCATCAGACTCTTATAAGTCAATCTTAATCCTGCCCACTTTCAATGTGGGACTAATCAGGGGTCTTATAAGTCAATCTTAATCCTGCCCACTTTCAATGTGGGATTAATCAGGGGTGTTACAATCACCCCCACTCAAAGGCTTGACGTTCTCGTCAAGCCCTAACATAACCCAGATCAAACCCTAGCATAGTGCATGTGAGGCGTAGCCTAGTGGTGGCTCCACGCCGTGACGAGTCCTCTGACTCCGTCTACGGGTAGTCCTTTCCTACTCGAGCCCCCTCACCATACACAAATGCTAGGTTGGCTTTGATACCAAATATTATGACTCGGGCCTGATAGGCTAACTGGCCTATCAACTTCGTTTGGTCTAAACCACTGACCAAAATGCTTAAGCTGAAGTTGATAGTAGTACACTCATCAGACCCTTATAAGCCAATCTTAATCTTGCCCACTTTCGATGTGGGACTAATCAAGGATGTTACAATCACCCCCACTCAAAGGCTTGACGTCCTCGTCAAGACCCAACATAACCCAGATCAAACCCTAGCATAGTGCATGTGAGGCGTAGCCCAGTGGTGGCTCCACGCCGTGACGAGTCCTCTGACTCCGTCTACGGGTAGCCCTTTCCTACTCGAGCCCCCTCACCATGCCCAAATGTTAGGTCGGCTCTGATACCAAATGTCATGACCCGAGTCTGATGAGCCAACTAGCCGATAACTCCATTTTGGTCCTTCAACCACGGACCAAAATGCTTAAGCGGGAGTTTACGTAGTACACTCATCAGACTCTTATAAGTCAATCTTAATCCTGCCCACTTTCAATGTGGGACTAATCAGGGGTGTTACAGAGCAACCCCTCCCTCCTTGCATGGTCTCATCCGTCACTAAGCGAGCCTACTTGCATAGAGCACTATCAAGTTTGGTTGCCTACATTGAGTTATAGCTCAAACTTGACCATCTCAACCTTTGTGCACTATGCGTTCTTCCCAACTCATTTATCTTTGTGGTGTCTCTTGCGCGAAGGGTTAGCCACTCCTCTGAATGCCAAACTCGGATACCCGCTCCTCTAAGAAACTCCTTTCCCCACATCTCTATGCATGTTTCCCTCAAGCACATGCATGTTGGTTGCCCTCAACACATTCCAACTAGGTTCCTCATGTTTGTATGTCAAGTGTTTCTAAGTGTGTTTGTCCTACTCTAATACCATTTATCACGGACTCTAATACCCGATAACATGTTTAAAAAAAATCTATGGATTGTCACGAACTTAACTGGATTTGCCTAAGTCATGCGACACATTTACGTGTCTATCCATAAAGGATCAATAGCCCCATAACCTATTAGAATCCCCTAAGGACCTACAAAAGAAAAGACGTGTTAGAATATGCATTATACTCCAGATCGCAAAAGCAGACATTTCAGTAAATACTTGATTGACAATGCAAATTACAAATATAGACTTTGCAAGCTCTGAATAGTCGCACGACAAAGGGTCCAAAGGCATCTACTGTAACCAAAAGTCCTCACAAGTGCCCACATGGCACAGTTGCAAAACAAAGCAGTGAACCAACCCTAGGCAATACTCTAAAGGCCCATCCAACCATGTGCCACCCAGGTAGCTCCAAGTTATTGTATTGGATAACACTTCACACTAATCTATGTAGCCAGAAAACACACAAGATGATTTCTTGGATGACTTATTTTTACGCAATTTTGCCTCTGCATGACGATCGTACATAACTTGCATGTACAGAATTAAAATGGTCACAAAAGCCAACCAAAATAAGGATGTCAAGCCTACCACAAGTCTTCTACATGATGTGCAAAGTATGAACAAAACTGAATGACATAGACATATAGAAACATTACATCGAACACCTTGCCTACAAGGCTATCCATGATAGGATGTTGAAATAGACAATGCAAGTCTATTGGCATCAGTAGTGTGAGGAAAGGGGGAGAGAGAGAGATCTAAGAAACTATACTAATTATTATAAAAATCGAATTGAATTCTCTTAATTTAACTGCAAATATTACCTTATACAAAACTCTATGGTAAGATAAGAATCAAGTAGTCAAATCTCAAATAGTTGAAAGCCATGTTAGCGCAACTAAATGGAATCGTAAGATGATTAAGATATTAGTTAGATGTGATGTTAGTTACTACCTTATCTTAACCTAATTATTCCATCTAATAATTTTCTGCCCATGTTTAAGAGTAAGATCTATGGAATGATCAAAAAGATGAAATACCTGTAGCATTGTCAGTTGAGCCGACAATGTTGTTGCTTCAGTTTGTAGAGTCTGCACTTTCCGCTCAAGCTCAGCAATGTATCGCATCTTCCTTTCTTTTGATCTTGCAGCTGACTGTCTGTTGGCCAAGATCCTATAACAAATACCAACTCTAATCAAGAAAGAAAATCCTGCATAGGGTGTCAAGGGTAAAACTTTTAGCAAAAGAATATCTTCTAGCAAGAAAAGTCAGTTTAGATATAGAAATTAATTACTGGAGTCGTGAACTTATGAGCTTGTGCATAAATACCTCATTGAAATAAGTACATCCATAGTCAGGAGGCATAGCAAGACATGCAAGTGAGGAACTTATTGCATAAGAATGCCTAATATCTAGTTAACCTAAGGAGTGGAGAGTGTTCAACAACAAATGAGCATAAAAAATTATCTTAATGGCTGATTGGCATGCTCTTATAAAGCTGAAATAATCTTAAAGGATATTACCCTCAAGTGAATCTGACAACTGAAGTAAATAACACATAACTATCTCAAAGACAGGCATCTAATTTATGTTTTATTATGGAAACAAGTCCTGCAGGTACCATCACAAATTCATTTTGTTAATTAAAAACAAGCCACAACAACATTACAGATTTAACATTCATGGTAAAGTTGACTGAAAGTTAACCCATTAGTAAATTAAAATATGCATATGAGCTACTATAAGGAGAGAACAATCATGGAAATCACAATTGTGGCACAACACATCACCTGATGGCTATAAACAACAAATTGAAGTAGCTGCAAGAGACCGTATGTAACTTTGTCCTTAGTTACATCAGAAGGAACTGGATTTTAAAACAAGATGAATGAAAATTTCTATGACAAATAACATGGAACTTTTCAACCATTATCACCAATAAATATAGGTGCCGAGAAAATTTGATGATGACCACATCAGCAGGTGTTTATCATGGCAGATGCATCTTGAAGATGCTTATATGGAATCCCACATTAAAGAGGAGGAGCCATAACTTGGTTCATTCTCATAGTTATCTGAATGTTTAATCTGGATGAGCTAAATGGTTCTCTAATTAGTTGACATAAATTAACTGGGAATGATGTGACAAGCAACATCATTTTTATGTTAAAATAATGAAACAACAAAAAAAATTGACAGTATAAAAGATCATAAATGACAATAATAACAAATGTTAGCTGACAGCATTCTTTCAAGTTATATGTATGGACTAGGGTGATATTCTTTTATCACTCAAGAATTAGTAATAACCAAACAAGGACCTGGTGTGTCTCAATATGAGATGATGAACCTCTAACGCATCAGTAAAAGCCTCATATAGCATGCATTTGGTTTCGGTGTCAATAAATACTTCCAAACTAACAATTAATTTGACAAATAGTTCTACTGAATAACTTAAAGGAAAATAAATAACTTTATTTGGTAAGGAAGACCTCTTTGTGCGCTTTGGATCAACAAGAGCCAGTTCTGCAAGTTTTGCAGCTGACATAGCTTTCTTCGCCTCTGCAGATAATGGTCCTTCCCCACCAGACAGCAGGAACTCTGACTTGATTGCAGTAGATCCATCCAAAGATTGGCTATGCTGATGCCTTATCCTTGGCTTCTCACTCGAACTCGATGCCACATTCTCACCCTGAAGAGGAGCCTGAACGGGAGGCAAAGCAGACTGTGAAACCTCACCAATCGACAGAGCAGCAGAGGTAGCACCAGAGCTGAACTTTTCCACATCGATGTACATGGAAACGAGGTCCTCCTCAGCCTCATCAGACAGCGATGGTCCACCATGCGACCCCACCACACCAAGGTCACTATCAAAGCAGATATCATCTGGGAGGCCGAGTATTTCTGAGTGTGCTCTACGGTGACCAGCATTCCTTTGTGGGAAATCAGGCATCCGGCTGACATCATAGCTGAACCGCCGAGCATCAGATGGTGTCTCGTAAGCAAAATGACCAGAATTCGAAGATGGCTGAGAAGAAGAAGAGGCTGAGAGATCACCCATAAAGCTGAAACTGCTCGAAGGGGAACCAAAGGGGGAGTATCGTGGCAAATGGGGCGGCAAACCACGACCACTACCTCCACCTCCGCCTCCGCCAGGTGCTGGCGACTTATCCTTGTCCATGACTATGGATGGATCCACAGAACTCAACAATCACAAAGGTACCACCTTTCTTAGAGAAACCAGTACGGAATCCAGAAACAAACTTAGAGACGAGGTCACAGATGGAACCCCAACGATCAAAGATCCGTAACTCTTCAGGATCAACGAAATGTCCTTACTTTTTGGACAATCGCCTAAACATCTGGTGGACGTGAAGGAAACACAAAGTCAAACACAAAACATCTATAGATTATGTTTATGTCAGCAAACGATAGAGCTTTCTTAAGATCTCAAACCCAACAAAATCAACTACGAAAAGAGAAGCGATCGAACCAAAAATAGAAACGTTTTTCCGCTAATACGAGTCCTAGAAACGGGTCGCAGCGACAGGGCCCTGAACCCTAGAAATGCCGAGATATGGGTTTCCAAAAGCGAGAAAAGATGGCCGCTTTTTAGGAAGCGAATTATCTGGACCCAAAAAACACTCGAACGCAGCAAAGAACAGATATTCTGAGCCGGCAGACACTGACTTCCATCTACTAATCAGATGACATTGACGGAGGGGCGTAGGAATGCTTTACGGAGCCGGGAGGATTGAGGAGATAAGCATCACACGGTTTCAGATAGGAAACCCGTAGGATAAAGAGATTGCTAAATAAACATTTCGTACCACGTTGCAACGGATTACAAACCTTCGCTGCAAACTCTCCCCTGCAAGTAATCGATCGATGAGTCGGAAGACCTCGTTGAGGCAGAGCGACGCTGAACCCTCGACCCCCGTCGCTTAATGCATTCCCAAAAGAACAGCGACACTTCCGGTGAGACCAGGTCGACAGGAAACAGCGGCCGGCTCGTCGTACGGAAGTCCGACGGCTGGTAGGTAAGTGGGCGCCACGATATTCGTGCGCGACCGCGAAACGAAAGATCCGACGGCAATCTTGAGACCGTGATGACGGCGTGTGATGGTCACGTGCGTTCGAGTCCGTGGATTGGAACTGGCCCACAACGTCATTTGGTTCGGGAGACAGGAAACAGCCTCCTAGTCGTAAGGCAGTTCGACACCTGGCATTTGATGAGCGAGAGCAGCAGAATTCATGCATGATCGTCGAACGGAAGATCTAACGGCCGTCTCTAGACACTGATGACGGCGTGGTCACGTGGGTTTGAGTCAGTGGATTGGGCTGGCCCAGCACTCAATAGGGTGCTTCGATCCCGCCATGTCGAGAGACAGGAAACAGCTCCCCATACCTATGAGAATCCGAGACCTGGCCGGCAAGGGAGAGGGGATTCCGTCGAGATTCGCGCATGATCGTGGAACGTTCAACGGTTGCCTTGAGCCCTTGATGATGGCATGTGATTGTCACGTGAGTTCGAGTCGGCCCGCTGGGAAGGCAGTTGGTCCAAATTAACACAGACAATATAACATGTAGTTGATGAACTCAGTGTTTGCCATCCATAACATTGACATCGATCTGACATAGATAAAATGACATAAACATAGGTCCAAATTAACTCCCATCACTTTCACGGACAATAAGTTATTTGAGTAGAAAACTGCCAACAAAGTTTTATATAGAGAACATTCATCATCATTTGAAGCATTCCCCTCTGCCCAGAAACAATGCCAGAAGTCAATGCTCAGTCAACTCCTTGACATGAATTCATCTAGGTTTTATAGTTCATCCTGCAGTTAAGACAGTGCAGTATTATTAGGTGAATCATCAAGATAGCGCTAGTGAGTATGAAAGTAATGACAGAAGGAGCTCAGTACTTACATGGTAATCATCATCTAGGTAATCCCTATGATGGCGCTGCACACAAGATGTTTCTAGTTAGGAAATCATTTTAATTGAGCTACAAACTAGAAAAGTATTTAACTCGGATAACAAATCTCAGCAAGGCAACATGGGGTAAAAGGAATAAACTGAACAATCTCCATTATGAATGTTCTAATGAATTCTGGGTTAATCAGAAAAAAGAGGAAATATAGACATACTTTTTTGTATCTATCCCTGTATCTCTCCCTGTCACGGTAACGTCGATCATGTCCCCGTTCTCTTCTTCTACGCTCACCTTCCTCTCTAGCCCTTTGAGCTTCCTGTACAAAAAACAATAACAGAATGAATTGTTAGCTTGTTAGCGGAGTAAGCATTTAATGAAGCCCTAAACAGAGCTCAATCTCGGAAAAAAAAGGATCATTGGTGAAGTTTCAAACAGAGCCATAGGTAAGAAAGATCCATATAGCCACCCCATAGATAGGACACCATGGCTAGTCACCATCATTGGTGATTTGTTTAATGGAGAAGGCATTTATAGTGACGAGAATGTATTCAGAAGAGAAGAAATGTCACACCTCTTCTTCTTTAGCTTTCCTTACTTTCTCTGCTTCCTCAAAGGCCTCCTTCTCGACCTGACAGTGGAAAAAAACACCAATTGTATTCAGTAGATGAAGTACATTGAAAGTTATCAACTATGAACCAGAAAAAAGGCAAATGCACCTCTCTATTCTTAAGAACAGTCTCCTGGACAACCTCTTTTGCATAATCTGGATCATCACATATCAGGATGTTGTCATAGACTGAACCAGCCTTTACCTGCATTGTCATTTGCCTTGCAAGTTATGCAACATTCAACTTCACATCAAGCAGAAGCCACATATATATAGATGAAGGTGATCAATCAAACATAAACTTCATCAAAAGTAATTCCAAGCATGCAACATTACCTGCCAAACTTCAATACCAACGTATTGCAAAGGCTTCAGCACATAGAGATCAGGGTCATCTTCAAACTCTGATAAAAGGTAAAGGATTAGTCTAGCCATATGAAATTAAAATATTTTCCAAAAGAATTTAATTTACTGAGATGATCTTCAAAAAGAATTTAATTTAATTATTTTGAAGAGTGAAGAGAAGAGAAAGATGAATGAAACAAAGAGAAAATTTTGACTAAATGTTTAATTCTTGGCACTCAAAAGATATCTGGTACAACAAAACATTACAAAATTTCTAGTGGATTTCTAGAAACTGAACTTGTTTATTCTCTTTTAGAACTTTATGGTGCAGTTGGAGAATCTACAACTCAAAGTATAGCTTCTGAGGCTTTGAGAAATGTTCAATTACTTCATTGGGATTTCCAAAGCATTATACAGACATTTTTGCAATGTAGAGAATGTAGTAGTGGTTGAAGTTTTTTATATTGCTCTTACAACCCAAAAAACATGAAATTGAACCCAAGAAAAAAATTAGACAAATTAATGTTTCCTTACAGTTCACAATACTGCAAGAAGATATAAATGGAAATGTTTAGACATTTTACTCTTTAGTTGTCAAAAAATATTTACCTTCAAATTTTGAAAGGCTTAGACCATCCATGGTTGGTTGTAGTCCATTAAATGTTAAAGAAATTATATTTCATGCAATTAAGACAATCTTTGTCCAGTAGTACCACTTTCAAATTATTCACAATATCAAGAAGATAGAACATACTAGTATACTACTACTCTAAAACTGTGTTTCTCCATTGGACTATGAATAAGTTGGTAATTTGATATGATGCTTATCTTACCAGGATTATCAATCCATGGGGTCTTCCATTTTCCTTTGTAGTTGGGGTTCTTGATCTTCTGTAAACTCACAATAAAGGATGAAGAACAGTATTTGTGCAGTCTACATGACACTAAAATCACAAATTCTTCTGAAATAACAAACCTTGCGTTTCCATGGTCCCTTGTAAGCTGGATTTGGTATCTTTGGTGGTTTCCATAGTCCATCTTCATCGTCATCCCATGTGTCAGGCTGATAACAAAAGAGTCAAGATAATTGAACCCCATAACAAAAAGCAAACAAATACTTTAGCCAGAAGAACATGTCACCAATTAAGCTACAATCTCCTGATATATCACAATCAATGCATGAAGAACATGATGATTCCAAGAGTGCAACTTGTGCATTATAACAGGAGTTCCAAACTTCCAGAGGCATACCTTTTTCGCCTTTGGATCAGGAATTTCCTTTGGAATTGAATCATATCCCTGAAACATGCAGAAAAAAGTTAGAAACTCACATACACTTAAAGAGTGTTACCATGCAGGATGTGGCAAACCTCTGGTTTAATATCATCAGGATCTTCAATGTATTCCCTGTCATCCCAATCTTTGGGCTGAAACAGTGAAGAGAACGTCTTAGAAGATTTCCAATGGAGAGAATCAAATTACAAGTTTCTTTTATCATGATCGTTGATCAAGGTCCAACCTTTTTAGCATTGGTATCTTTAATCTTTCGAGGTGGAAGTATATCCCAGTCGGTATACATGCTCCCAGATTCTCTTTCTCGGTTGTCAACGAGAAGACTATAAGAGGCATCGGGCCTAAGAATAAATGTGTATACATGTGCTAGCTTGTCAGTCTCGCATTGTAGATCCTTTTTGATAGGATAATTCTGTCCCTGGTAGGAAAGGATCAGATGGAGCTTCTTTGTTTGTGTGCCACATAAATCAGGCCCAAACATTAAACTGCATAAAAAAGGCAAAAGATTATTGGGCAGATTATATTTCCAAGTGACTACGTTAACCAGCAAATGTCATCCCAAGAAATATCACTGAGGAACAAGCTATACTATTTTAGTGAATTTAAGAGCAAAGTTGGGCAAAAAAAAGTAAATCTCATCTTGATGCAAGGAAAATTTCATTACCACAAGGCATTAATACAAACCTACAGGAGTCCTCATTCCCACATGACTAAAAATCATAATAAATGCAAAGAAAAAGAGTTTGCATAGAAAATGACCAAGGAGATTAGGCTGATATTAACCTTCCCCATTAGGTATGAACTTTATCAAAATTTTGACAGATCACCAACATATGATTTATGTTGAATGAACATAACAACAAGATCCAAAATACCATAGCCCAAGTTATTGATAATAGGCTAGTATTTGAGTTCCAATCAGGTACCAGTGTCCATAATGTGTTGTTCTGGTATTTCTACTGAATGGTACACCGAGTTGTACTGCACAGAATCACTAAAAGGTAATTAAAAAACAAGTGATATACTGAGAGGTACCAAGTTGTATGATCCACCACCAGTTCTTGGTCACCAATATATGCCATCAAGTATCAGTCCATATGGTATTATAAATCATAATGTTATTAACCCTTAAATCATGTACTTTGGTCCATCCTTCAGTATCTCTGAGAGTCGGGTCATAGGATGTCACAAACTCACCTACTCAAGTATATGCCCTTGTCATGGGGGACCCAGAGTCTGATATATCTGTGGCCATGAGGTAACTTATGTAGATCTATAGACATGATGATAATATTAGGTCTACAGACAATATTATCTCACAAATCTAGTAGCCTAGTGGCTGAATAAGTTACAATGAATGGGCCTAACATGAATAACCATGTGACCCAATAGGACTAAAACCAAGTTATCAATAAAAATCATCTGAGAAATACATACTAATTCATCCTGTATTATCTGCCAATGTAAAGCCATAGAGTTGCCAAAACCAAGGAGTCCCCCTACCAATGGCAAACCTATATCAGTTCCTTGCTGAACTAATACGGTACATGACAGGATGATATTCATGCCAGTACTAACATATTGTCCTGCCCCTGCCACAGACTTAGACTCTCTTCGAGAAGTGTGTAATCAGGAAGTTTAGAAGAATCACAGACCAAGATTTGCTAATTAGATGACAAATTGTCAGAATCAGTTGGTTTTAACCAAAACAGATTTGCTTTTGCAATCTTTAAACAAGTGCATGAAACTGGATTCTACAAACATGGTCATCAGTAGGACCGATAAATACCACCCCAAGAATTGCTGTACCATGATGCAGTGTCAACTAGTTCGCATGTATGACACAACATGTTGCTGCAAGTTAGTTGTCAAAAGACATTTCCTAATAGATTCCTGATATAGAAGTTCCTGAACTAGATGAAATCATATCCCACCATCCCATTCTTATACAAAGCAATGTGTTTGTTATTACCACAGCCAATCAATCAAAGAAAAGTACTGCAAAAGTCCAGTCATGAGTCCTCCAGAAAATTCTTGACAATGGTAGAAAGGTCTACTTTTGTTGGATTAAGGTTATCTATATTTGTACAACAAGATAAGTCAACAAATAAATTTGTTGATGAAAAAAAATACCATACCTGTATGGAGTATCACCACCAAATTTCTTCTGATTGACATATCCAGAAAGAAGTTTGATGTAACCGCCACCACACTCGATGTCCTGTTCAAACCTAATAGAATATTGGACCACTAGTGTCCTGTTCTTGTTACTAAATTCTGGAAATTTTGCCGATATTGCAAAATGCCTGGCATCCGTGTGTGTTTGTATTCCTGAATAGGTCAGTGTTGTCACATAAACAACGAAAGTGCATTTGGATTAACATTTCAGTAATGAAAGATACTGAACATCATATCCCATGCAGTTAACAAGGTTTACCAAATATGAAGCAATAACTGTCTTTTCTTTCAAAAGCAATTAGACTTACATTAGAACTCTACTTGTGAAGCTAGAAATAAGTTATTATTCAGACCTTTGTCATCTGGATCGCCCGGCCATTTCCCTGATGTATGTTTGAAGTAACCAGCTTTTCCTTCACTCCTTTTCCAATCTGATTTTACCCAACGGCTCTCCCAATCATCTTTTCAGAAATATACAAAAAAATTGCATATATCAAAGTTAGTCAAACACAAAGAAACGATATAATATTTGTGAATTATTAATCAAAGGTTAAGAAAAGTCAAAAACCTTCAGGGTTGCAAGAAACCAAAAAAGATAAACTTCTAGATCATTCGAAGCCTCAGCACATAAGCTCACTCAGAGGCAGAAGCATGAAACAACAAGTTGTAGAAGCCACAGTTCAAGTAATATGACAGCTTTCATATGTCTTCTCAAAAGTATTTGTACAATCTTGGAATGCACATATGATTTAGAAATTTCAGAGTTATAATATACCAATCCACCAACTCTTCCAAATTTTTTATCATCATTCTCAAGATTTGGACTTCTCTAGAACTCTGATCAGATCAAAACCAACGATCTGCTCTACTAGCAGGCATCCGATGTCTTATCATTTGACATAAACAGCATCGCTGAGCTACCAAAAACAGAAAAAAGATGCTAGTTTTCTACTATTGGTACTGATCTGGTTCTCCTGTGGCCCCTTCCTAACTCAAAACTCATCGATCCCAGGTTTAGAAACGAAAAAGGGGCAACTAACTACGTGATTTCAGAAGAGGCAACTCAAAGAAAATGTATCTTTTATATTCCGCAGAAATGAAAAGATCAATCTCTACACCAAAGAAGAACAACTCGAGAAAAGGGGGAAAAGGGGGAACATGGGAAGACGCGTATACCGTCAAATCGCTCCTCAAAGAAGATCTCCGACGCGGAGAGCTGAAGAAAGAGTGCGAAGGAGAGCAGCAGCAGCTTAAACTTTGGGAGTAGATTATGAGCTAAGAACGGTGGTTGCGCCATAGCCGGCCGCCGCCGTGAAACTAGCGGAGCCATGAGTGCGCTAATTATAGAAGGAGGTCTCTGATAAAAGTCCCTGTCGAAGCACCCAAATTGCAGCTATACCCCTCCCAAATAAAACAAAAAATATAGAAAAACATAATAAATAAACCCTTAAAACTATAAAAAAAGATAATTAAACCAGAATTCGGATTTGAATGTGACTTAATTTTTCTACACGTTATCTTTTTCCTCCTTACATATCGCTTTCGTGTTATTAAAGAAAATGATTTGAAAAATATATATCCCGGTAAGTGGCATTCCTGTGATTTCTAGAATCTGAATGGGCATTTTCGTGATCTTGAAGCAGAAGTGCTGACCAACTGACCGCGTGCGGGAACTCGCAAGTCTCCGTGCTCGGAGACCTCAAATGACATCAAAGCTTTACTTCCGTCGATCACCACCTTCGGAAAACATAAACGGGAGTGTGGTATTGCACCTATAAGCTAACGGGTATTCGATTGGGTATGTCACGAGATGTGCCTATTATTACCTATTATTTGTAAACAGTATGTCGTTGTACTCGTTGGCGTTCCAAATGGTTTTAAGGCTGTTCGAACCTCTTACAAGCTAATGGAAAGGTAACACGTGTAATATCGACGTGTTCGCCACCGTTTAATTCTTATTAGATGAGAAAAAAGAGGTCAACGGTCTTCATCTGAGACGACCGAGTCGGATCCGTTACAACTATTGTGACAGACACGTTGTACGTGTAACGGGTCCTCGTCCCTGTGTCTCAGCGTAGCGGCTTGCCAGCTGCTACAAAGTAATATAGAAGGCGTTCGTGCGCAATAAGACATCGACACGTATACCATGAAATCCCCAAAACTTGGTCCCGCGCTTGCCTGCTTTGCAATTCGTGCAAAATCGGCGGTGCGGAACAGATTCGCCGGCCCTTCCGATCAGGCCGCCCTACTCTCGCCTGCGATGGCACCGCCACCGAAATCGACGGCGGTGGAGTCGTCGAGAGTGAGGAGGTACCATTGATCTTTTTTCCTCAGCGGTTCGACGGTCTTCGCCGGCACGCGGCCTCCCGCTTCTGCCTCCCCTTCCCTCCGTCGGCGGCCGATGGGCCTCCACCCAGTCTTCGCCTTTATTCAGCTGCGACAGCATCGCAGATGCCTGCTTACGATTCGGACGGACGGCCCCCAAGCAGCCGCGTTGGCGCCGGGCGCTCCATGGCTTGCGGTCGGTCGTCGGCCACGCCATCAGGGCCAATGGCAGATGGTCACCGTAGTTCTGGTATGAGGTTGTACGCCGTAATTTGATGCCTAATCCTTGGCCAAACTCCAGAATGCGTTGCCGAGTTGCCGCTTCCCCTGTCCGCTTCATTTCGGTTCAAGAAAAGCCACACTCGAGCAAATTCGTGCAAGGGGCCCCTTTGCTTTATGACGTAAGGGCCCTGTGTAACGCGTCCCTTGAGCTCCCTTGGGGGCCAAAAGTTTCGGAGAGGAATCTCCAACCTAGGTTATTCGATTTAGTATCCGTCCCTGGGAATCTCGAGTCCATCCATTGCTTTCTGTGCCAATCCGTGGAGTTTGTGAAGTCACAGGACTTGTACGACCGATGAGGCTCGATCCTCATCTTTTCAGCCTGGAGGCCTGCGATCTTGAAGCAGGGAATTATCTGAAAATTCGGGTTTGTTTCGATGTCCCAGGGGTCAACCAAGCTCCAGGTGTGCTAATTGGTATCTAATGTTCTAAGGTTTGATTCAGGTTTTATGGGTCATTCTTGGTCTTTGTTGTTTGAAACTCGGTTGAAAGTTTGGATCTTTGCCGGTCAAATGGGCAGGAGAGAATGGATCTTTGCTATTCAAGCTGATCTCATATAGACATTTGGAGGATGGTATTTGTGGCTCAAGGGACTGGACCGTGTGGTTAGAGATTCGATCTCAAGATGCACTTTTAGATTACAAGGAGATTTTGAAACATTGACAGACAGCCTGGTTGAACCAACATGGATGGATTTACACCATTGCAGGGTGGAGACAAGAGTCCAGAGTCAGACGATCTCATTGGCCACTCGGCCTTGATGAATATTGATACTTTTACTGAGTTGTGCAACCCTTCAATCGCTGATCAGTTATTTGTGCAATTCAGTTACTCCAGTCGGTCAAATTCTCAACCACAAACCATGGAAGTGGCAGTTGGAATGAGCAAAGCTTCAAATAGCACGGTCGGTGTTCATTCTAGCATTGGAGGCAATTCAGCAGCCCAAAGGAATATTTTGCAGTCCCAGGTTATCTCAGATCCTCTGCACGTTGACATGACTGGAAAAATTGCATCCAGCAGCTCTTTCCCTCCATGTGATGTCCCTGAGGCTGATGAGACTGAGAATGTGATCCCTAGACCAACTGTAGGTGCTTCTCTTGCTGAAAAGTTACTGAAGGCGCTGTCCTTGTTTAAGGAATCGGCTGGAGGTGGTATACTTGCCCAAGCTTGGTTGCCTCTCAAACAAGGCAATGAATATGTACTAAGCACCTCTTATCAGCCCTATCTACTTGACCAAGTTCTTGCAGGATATCGGGAAGCCTCAAGGCTGTTCACTTTCTCTGTAAGAGAAGCACCTGGGTCAGTCCTTGGGCTTCCTGGTCGTGTATTCATATCTAAGATGCCAGAGTGGACATCAAACATTTTATACTATAATCGGCTAGAGTACTTGCGAGTGGATCATGCACTCAACTATAAAGTCCAAGGAACCCTTGCATTGCCAATTTTTTGTCCCAATGAGCATTCATGTTGTGCAGTCCTTGAGCTTGTCACAAAGAAGGAGAAGCCCGATTTTGACATAGAAGTTGCCAGTGTTTGCAATGCCTTGCAGGTCAGTAATGGTTGATATATCCTCATATCTAGTGCTTTCTTCATGTGTCCTCAATACTTGAATGCATGGTCTCAAAAGATCTGCCAATCATGATATGAGTTCACTTCTATGGACCAATTTTAGCATCTTACTGAACAGTCTCAAAAGATCTGCTTTCTGTCTTCTTGTCTATAGCATCATGATTCATTGAATCAAAGTGTCAAGGAATGCCTTGTAGTATACTCAAATGTCCTAGTTTCTGAGTGCTCATACTGAAGAATCCTGAAATTAAGTTTGAGGATCACACTGCTTCACACATTGTGCAATAGAAGTATAGATTGTTGAGGAATTATTTCCCACAAAAATATGACTGCATTTGTAGGTTTATAAGTCAAAATCTTATAATATATCACATACTTTGAGTAGATGATGTTCACAGGTAAAAGTTCTACTTATTGTTAATCTGCAGGCTGTGAATCTGAAGACCATCAAAGCACATCCTACACAACAGGTCTTGGTAACATCTTTGTCATCATTTGCTATTTTTGTGTTGGGTTCACTGCTTTACGATTGATGGTGCTGTTACTAAGTATTCCATAATGTGAATTTGCAGTCTCTTCAAACTAGTCAGGAGTCTGCCTTCACAGAAATTTTAAATGTCTTGAGAGCTGTCTGTCATGCACACATGTTGCCTTTGGCACTTACATGGATACCTTTTAGCTATTTTGATCAGGTTATGGATGAAAATACAAAAAATGGTAATAAGGAGGAAAGTTTTATTTTAAAGAAGGAAACCATGCTCTGTATCCGCGAGTCAGCTTGTTATGTCAATGATCAACGAATGCTGGGCTTTTTACATGCTTGTTCAGAGAACTACCTTCAAAAAGAGCAGGGTATTGTAGGAAAAGCAATTCTATCATATCAACCTATTTTCTTTTCTGACATAAAAGCATTTGATGTCCACCATTATCCACTCGCACATCATGCCCGCAAGTTTGGGCTGCATGCTGCTGTTGCAATCAGGCTGAGGAGTACTTACACTGGAAATGACGATTACATACTAGAGTTCTTTCTTCCAGTCAATTGCAGAGGTAGTGACGAACAACAGCTTTTGTTAAACAACCTCTCAGTTACATTGCAGAGGATCTGTAGAAGCTTGAGAACCATTTCAGACGCTGACGTAGCTGGCTATGATGCCTCTGGAATCAGGATAGATAGATCAGGAATAGATCTCAGTTCAACAAATTCCTCTGAGAAAAATAGTCAAGCAAGACATGGTGAACAAAATTCTGCCAGCTCACTCTCTGATGTCCAAAATATGGGGCCTGATAACCAAAGAGAGGGTTGTCATCTTGGTCAGGTTATATTTGTTATTGTCATCGCTTTACACTTTGAAAACCTTATGTTATGCACAAACATTTACCAACACAAATGGGTTCTCACTTCCAGCCCGAAGAATTGACTACAGAAACATATTGAATAGCTGAACTTGTTTCATGCTTTTGATTCGCTTTTTATTGTTAATGTTGGTAAAGAAGTAAAACGTTCGGTCCATGAGTACCAACATTCCAATAAGGCAATAACCACAATTTACTTTGAGTGTTAAGCTCTTACAAAAGTTCATGGAGTTATCCATCTTGTTTCTTTGATCAAGTGTTGTCATCAAATTGGGGCTACAAAGATGAATCTTTTGATAACACTGCTCTTTAAGAGATATCAGACTTTCCTTCTAGTTATTTGTGGTCAGATAAGATGCAACCACCTCATTATTTTCTCTGTTGGACTTCACCAAACTTGGCGCTAAGCACTCTTTACATTTTTTTGACTTCTACATGTGACTGCATTTGGTGATGCAGGAGAGCCTCTTAACTTGCATTACACCTATTGATGCTCCTAGAAGAAAATGGAAATCACTAAAGTATTTGAGATAAAGATTGGCATGAATCAATCATGGTCAATTAGTAACCAAAATATACTTCACCTACTGATACTCCTAGATGAAAATGGCAACCATTAAAGCATTTGGAATAAAGATTGATATCAATTAGCAAACATAACATACTTTGTGAATGTTTGCATGTTACGGAGCACGTTGCCTTGTTCTTTTTCTTTTCTTGATAATCTTTTTTTCTGTTTACAAGTTAATTTTTCTAACTTTATTGTGCTTTGTTGGATTTACCCCTTTTGCTGTTTCATTCACTTAGAATGCGTCCATAATGTAATTTTCACTTGTGTTATCCTCATGGGCTGGCCACATGCCAATTGTATTCCACATGTTGAGAAAATTGAATATCAACCGTATGTTGTTACTAGAAAAGCATATTGGTAACTATGGAAGTGTTGTAGCGGTGTGTTTGGGATGTGGTATTGATAGGATGTTTAATATATTATTGGCATAGATAACATTTACCATTTGTGAGGCAGCCTTTGTTGCTACTTAGAGGCTTCCAATATCTCATGTAATAGGTAACAAGAATAGGTTCTTAGAGATCAGAGTACAGCCTGTTGTTCTGACTTTGTCTTTTGACTAACAACCAGAAATGCAACTGATTGGCTTAAAACGTAAAACTACTTGACTTAGTTGCTAAATTATTTATTTTATGTACTATAGAATGACTTGTTGACTCTTGGTAGCTCATTGGATTCTCCCATTTAAGCTCTACTTTGATTTGATGCTGAAGTTGTTGATTTATCTAGGAACTATATAAACTTCCAGCTAGGAAATGCATGGCGAAGATTTAGTTAATCATTTATCGGTTAAGATATAAATGACAGTTTTTGAAAGTTAAAAATACTGGAATAGTGTGCTTACACCATTTTAGTTCTATGATGCAGATAAATTGTGGTTCAAAAAGGCAGCCAAGGAAATCAAGCAGGAAACTGCAAAAGAATGTTAGCTTGAGTGATCTTCAGCAATACTATTCTGGAACACTAAAGGATGCTGCAAAAAGCATTGGTGGTGTGTTTCATTTCTTTGATGACCTGTTTCTTGTTCTACCATTGTGTTGAAGTACTTGAATCATAAAGAAATAATCATAACATCAGAAATAATTAGCTAATGATTTCATCATTGGACTGATGAGGCTTTTGCCCATAAAAGAAACTAACATAGAGATCATATGATATTTCATGAAAACATTTTGAATGAAGATGGTCAAAAGTTGAAAACAATTATAGACCCCCTTCCACATTATTTATCTGAGAAAATCACTATCTATATTGCCAACCTTCATAGATTCAGTGGCAACTCGAACACATTACTATTATCTTATGTAGCACGTGTCGTAGTAGACTTGATACTTGATACTTATTAATCATTTCATGCATTTTGTCCAACAACACTAAAATGGATAATCATTCCATGCAGTTTGTCCAACAACACTGAAAAGGATATGCAGGGAGAATGGAATTTCAAGGTGGCCATCTCGTAAGATAAAGAAAGTCAATCATTCAGTGCAGAAGATCCAGAGTGTGATAAATTCTGCACCAGGAATTCTGGAAAAGTTAAGGTATGATCCCACCACCGGGAGTCTTGTTACAGAAGTCTCCTCACCAGAAATAGAAATATCTTCAGCATCAGCAGGTCAGGGAGTATTGCCCATGTATTCCATTAAAAGATTTGAAAACAAGCAGTTTGAAGGGACATCAGAAGTGGCGAAATGCTTGATTGGTGATAGCCAGCATATGGAGAGTTCAGGTCAACTGAAATTTCTTCGTGGTGAACAAGAGAAAGCCCATGTTGCTTCACTTGATCGCTACAATGAATATAAGCATACTTTGGTTGGAGGAGTGTCCAATCTTGCTGAAGTGAGATGTCATCGAGATGGTTCTATCAAAGGTGATATACATTCAGAGAGTCTTGAGTGTCACAAGGTGTCAAGGTGCCTATTCTCAAAACTAGCAATGGAAGAGATGCAGACAGAAACTGGTGCATGTGATCAGAACGCAAAAGATAATAGTAGCTTCGGACATAGAAATCCTTGTTCCAACAGGCCAGTCTCATCCAGTGGTAGCTCATCAAGTGAACAAACTGCCAAAAAGAGTGTAGAAACTGATTTGATGCCTGTTGACACCAGTAAGTTGCCGGTTAATGGTGGCTCTGCCATTTGTGTGAAGGCTACATATAAAGAGGATTTGGTGCGGTTCAAGTTCTATCCGTTCATGGGTTGCAATCAATTGTTTGAGGAAATAGGAAAGCGATTCAACTTGTCAATTGGGACATTCCAGCTCAAGTACAAAGATGACGAAGAAGAGTGGGTCATGTTGGTGACCGACTCTGATCTGCAAGAGTGCATTGAAATGCTGGAGTCATTAGAATCCCAAAGTGTGAGGCTTCTAGTTCAAGATATTCCTAGTGCTGTTGGCAGCTCAGGCAGTAGCAACAGTTTGTTTCTGAAGTCTTGAAAGATGCCACTGGCATTTGATAAAACCATCTGCAATAGCCAATTGCAAATGCCCATACTAGTCTTTAGAGCAAAAGAAATCTGGTGTCTTATGGGCAGTGGTCAAAATTGTCGTTCCCAATTATCGAGGAAGTCTCTCGATTCCCTCTGCACTTTTGATTAATCTTTACATAGCTCTCTCTCTCTCTCTCTCTCTCTCGCAATTGGTTGTTTTCACAAAGAACTTCCTAGCCGCCTTGTACTTCAGCATTATCTTCTAATATGTTATTTAAGATGTGCCTTCTACTTCAGATACATTTAATGTTAATGTTGTTATTGGATATACAGGACTACCAATATCCATTGTTTTCCTTCAGATGTTTGGTGATTGCTGCATTCCTAATCTACTAAAATGTTGGTTTCAGCTCAAACTGGTGGATCATGGATGCATTAAATGTTCACTGAAAACCACAAGGTTTGGATTGATATATTTCAGAGCCATCTGATTCACTTGACATGAGTAAACAAAAGCGCGTTCTCATCATTCCATCATTGAAGCATAGCATTACTGCATCAGATTTTGCTCTATTTCTCCTCACATCACAATAATTAATCATGATGTCTCACTTAACCATTTATTCTTTAGTGTATGTTCACATCATTCAATGATTATTTCTTATTGAAACCACACCTAATCATTCATAAACATATATTATTATTTCTTATTTTCCTAGTCATATCTCAATTATGCAAAATTTTTTATATGTTATTTTTTAGCCATCTAACACCTAAGATTCTTGACTTTATTTACAACTATTATATAAAAAATTCTTTTAATCTAAGAGGCACCCAATTGTTACACAAAACTCCTGATCTTCTCTATGTTTAATCAAATAATATATTCAGCTTAAAGCTACATTAAATTAGAACTACACCTGATAGCACATTAGATTAAAGGGTTTTGTCACTCAAACAAATTGGAAGAAGAACAAGAGTGCATCATCAACATATTCTAGAGCATAGTCATTGTTTACTTCATCTTTACCAGCTGCCATCATTGAATCCTGAAGAGAAAGTGACACAAAGGTTGGTTCAACTCTGTTCTTCACCTCCAATCCTCCATCTCTTCACTTAATCCAATCCATGACCATCATAGACCTCTACCATTCAAATCATTTTACACCTGGCTATGGAAGTTCCTTTTGGTTTGGGTGATAGATCAATTCAAAGCATTAAATGTAATATAATTTTAGTGGAAATAGAAGTCACATAGACAAGAAATCCTCAACAACATCTCCACATGGAGCAAAACAAGAAAAGAGAAAAGGATTTATATTATGTCACAATCTACTTGAGAAAAATTCTTTGTGATAGCAATCTAATCCAATGAAATGTGATTGTACTGATTGTAAATATAAAAAATTATAATATAATATAGCAATGTCTTAAATTTCGTACCGTACCGGAGTTTCGACGATCTCTCGGTACGGTACGGAACGGTATACCGCTCGGTATACCGAGCGGTATACCGAGCG